GTTAGACCCTTGGAATATGAGAGATTACGACAACGACAAGGTAAGAAATTTGCTGAATCAAATTTGTTTATATCTACACATTCAGTGGATACACTCTGTTCTAATTTGAGCCTCCATGCATGTGATTGTTGAGAAGCTTGGGATTCCGAGGTCTGATTCTCCTGGCACGGTCATTAGGAAGTTAGTTGCCAACCCAATTCCCTTGTGCTTTAATTATCTTATCTTGATTTGCTTTTCTACAATGTAGTAGGATGATTATTTTTTTCATGTATGCTTTTGATATGTTCAGGAATCCAATGAGGAGATACAAATACAATACTTGTATAGAAGCTGGGCAATTGAGGAAAAAGTGTCCAAATCATATACCAGTAATAATTTCACCTCATCAAATATGCTTCCTTCCTATCATTCCGTGGATGTAATCTGTTCTAATTTGAGCTTCCCTGCAGGTGACTGTGGAGAAGGATACAAGGAGTGACATTCCTGACATTGACACTAAGAAGTTAGTTTCCAGTTCCTTTTTTTCTTATTTATTATTATCTTGATTTATATTGCTATAATGGAATAGGATTGTTCCCTTTCATTTATGCTTTTTGTATATGTTCTGATGATTTCCATCAGGAAAAAAGGAAAGAAAAAGAAAGGAAATATGTACAGAAATCCCAATACATTAGATGAAGTTCTAGGAGTGGTCCTGCTTATCATGGTTTGCATGAATTGGTTACCTAAGTATCAAGGGCGTCCAAGAAACTAGTTTTTATAGTTCATATTAGTATGTAAGATCTGAATACAGAAAGCGAACCGTACTTATGATTGCAAAGACAAAGTGCAAGTTTATTTGTGTTCATAGCTTGTCTTAAATGAAGGGGTTAACACATAGCTTTATTGCCTATCCTGTTTTTGTGACTGCAGATATCATGTCCATGTTGATACTCCTCTTGGAGAATTTGTTTATGCTATTCGGTTAATCATTGGGCTCAGCAAAAAAAAAGCCGATATTTGTCTTTTTCAAAAACACTGAACCTCCCGCTTGTGAGTTGCAACTCATTTTGATTATAGGCATAATATCTTGTTCCCAAAGCTATGGTTTTAATAACTCTTCCAATGATACAGGTGCCTTGATGTCTGCAATCGATGAGGAAAATAAGGATGAAGATGGATTTCTTCACATGACCTACAGTGGAGAAGAGAAAAACGTAAACGGTGTGTTTATTTATTTTTCTTCTTTGTGATAAGAACATCTCTGTAGTTTAAAGGTTATTTCAAAATTTCATTGATGCAGGTTTGATAGTTACTGATTATATTTTTTTGGAAGAGAATTTCTTGTCATACTTGTTTGAAGTTGTTATTGAATTTCTGGGTAAGAGAATTTCGTATGCGGTTGTGATGTTTCATTGTTTGAAATTTGCAGAGAGCAGTCGTAGTGGGGGTTTTGAATTGGTTGGAAGCTGTTCCAAGCTTGACAATCCACTTGGTTTGTTTTTATTTTTTTTATTTTTGGGTTCATTGTATAGTTTATGAAATACCCATGTGCCTATTTTAGTATTGTGTCTGCGTAAATGGTCTCTGTCAAAATAAGTTCAAAATTTCATAGATTCAGGGTTGATAGTGATTATGGTTTATTTTGGAAACGGTGATTGCCTTTTGTCTTAGTTTTCTTTCTCATATGTTTTCTTATGATGTTTTTGCGCTAATATATTTTAGAAAGGACGCAAGCAGAAGAGAACAACCCAGATCCAATACCGGTAAGAATTTCAATGAATCGGATATGTATACTTCCTAATCATTCAGTAGGCATATCTGTTCTAATTTGAATCTGCATGCAGATGATCGTGGAGAATACTGTTGCAAGTAGCGACATTCCTGGCATTGAAGAGCAGAAGTTTGTTGCCAATACCTTTGTGCTTTAATTATCTTGCTTTCTATTGCTACAATGGAACATGATTATTCCCTTTTCATTTATGCTTTTGATTTATGTTCAGAAATTCGTCAGAAAAAAAAAGGAAAAAAGTATGGCCCGTTACTCTTTTAGACCCTTGGAATAGGAGAAAATTCCCTATGGTAAGATTTTCATTGATTCAAATTTGTTTATGTCACTCCGTTCTAATTTGAGCCTCCATGCATGTGAATGTGGAGAAGGCTGAAATTGAGAGGCCTGAAATTTTTGGCATGAGCAAGAGGATGACGAATGTTAGTTGCCAATTCCCTTGTGCTTTAATTATCTTGATTTGTATTGCTACAATGGCATAGGATAGCTTTCTTTTCATTTATACTTTGGATATATGTTCAGGGATTTTGTAAAGAGATTCAAAGACCGTACTTGTTTAGAAGCTGGGGAGTTGAGGGAGAAGCGTCCAAATTATGTACCCGTAATGATTTCACTGCATCAGCTATGCATACTGCCTGTGCTATTGGTGGATATACTCTGTTCTAATTTGAGCTTCTATGCAGGTGACTGTAGAGAAGGATGCAGGGAGTGACATTCCTGATATTGACATGAAGAAGTTAGTTTCCAGTTCCCTTCTGGTTTAATTATTTTGATTTGGATTGCTATTTATAGAAGTGCTCCCTGTTCCTTTATGCTTTTGATATGTTTTGGAATCCGTCAGAAGAAGGGAAAGAAAAAGAAAGGATGCATATGTACAAAAGGTCCAATACTTAAGTTCTAGGGTAGCGAAGGCTTCCTACTAAGTAATTTTCGTAGTTTGTATCAGTCAATTTGCATACATCAAGTCAAGGAAGACGTACTTATTACTAGAACGGCAAACTCGAAGTTCATTCGTGTTCATAGCCTGGTATTAAATGAATGGGTTCTTACATAGTTTTATTGCCTATCCTATTTTTCTGACGGCAGATTCCATGTCCATGGTGAGATGCCTCTTGGAAAATTTGTTGATTTTATTCGGTTACAGATCGAGCTTAGCATAAAGAAGCCTATATTTGTGTTTTTCAAGAACACTGAACCCCCCACTGGTGAGTTGCAATTTTATTTTTTCAGGCATAATATGTTGTTCACGGAGTTGTGGTAATAATTCTTCCAATGTCAACTTACAGGTGCCTTGATGGGTGCAATTGATGAGGAAAATGAGGATGAAGATGGATTTCTTCACATAACATACAGTGGAGAAGAGAGACTCTGGATCCAATGGAGGGCAAGAATGCCCTTAAGTAGCATTAGAAAAAGTGCGAATTCTAGGAGCTCTGAGACTCTTCTTATCGGAAATAGTATTTAGAATAAGTAGGTTTTGACCTGCATAGTCGTCCTTATATAGCAGTTTTATATCCTGGTATTGAATTGAGATCAATGGCCTTATTATTGTGCTGGAAGTATTTTGTCTAATGGTCATTTTTTTAAGATCAATTTCTGTCAGTGTCACTACATTACCTAATGTGGTTGGGTTTATTTCTTTGGGTTGTTACAACTCTCTGAGTTAGGGGCCAAGTTATACGTTGAATCTTGGAGCGTAGCGTAGGTAAAGCCCCACGCACACCCACACGCACATGCGTGCTAAATTGCTACAAACAAACTTGGCATGTGTCATTGGGTTGGGGCTTTGTGACCAACTTGTGTCTTAACATTCAACTGTTGTGAATGTACAAGACCTCCCTCAAATATCATTTCTGTAAAAAATCACTTAAATTTGAAATCATTTGACCACTCGATTAAATGGTTGTTATTATAGTATTTTCTTGAAGCAGTGTGTTTGTCTACTTTTAAAAGTTCATCCTTACAAAAAAATTATGCAAATTAAAAATCATTAAGACATCTCGATGCATACATGATGGACTTTGTCTTCTCTAAAAGGGAAGATGGTGGAGTTTTTGACAATGAAAATGTCACATTGTGTATTGTGTATATTTCTGCATTAATTTAAACCTTACTACAAAACTAGCCTCTCTGCACACGCCTGCGAGAGGTTTTTTTTCAAAAAATTTAACTTTATTTTAGAATTAAAAAAGATAATGGGTAGTTGTATTTAGGGGTGACATTTTAAACCGAAAAATCGAAAAATCGCAAAAACCAACCGACAATTTACCGTAATGAAACCGCAATCGCGGTAAACCGAACCGCATTTGCGGTATTAGGAACCGAACCGCATTTGCGGTTGCGGTTGCGGTTGCGGTATTTGATTTTGTAGATAACATTGGTGCTCAAACAACACAACGGGGTTCTTCAAATCCACTCACCACCAACACTTGAGTTTGTAACTTTAGTTTGTAACATTGGTGCATTACATTTTCCTTTTAGTTTGTAACTTTAATTAACTTTGAATTGAATTTTTCTTTTTTGTTGTAACTTTAATTCATTTTACTTTGCATTTTCCTTTTGGTTTATAACTTTAAAGGATTTGGAATTGGAATGCTTGAGAAGTTTAACTTTAATTGGAATGCTTGGAATTGTAACTTTAATTTTCTTAGGTTGTGAATGCTTGAGAAGTTGAAGAGATTGTGAATTTATATATGTTTGAGAAATTGAGGTTGTGTATTTATTTATTTAGGTTGTGAATTTATATTTTTGTAAATGCTTGAGAACTCGCGGTCGGTTTGCGGTTTCAAAAATCACCAAACCGCAAATAGTCGGTTGGTTTGCGGTTTGAGTATAAATTCGCGGTTACCGAACCGCAACCACCCCTAGTTGTATTCCATAAAATTAAGATTCATTATTTGATTTTTCTTTTAATTTTATTTTATTTTAATATGAAAAAGTATAAATTTACCATATCACCCTTATTTAATTAATAATTTCAATTCTTAATGTTTACATTAACCAAGAATATTTTCTAGTATTTTGAATGTTCACCATTTTCTGCCTTTTGCTTTATATATATGGATGAACAAAATTTAGGCTGTCATTTTAAACATGAATGTCCACTCAAACCAGATTTATTTGCCTCCTATCTATTTTCTTATGAATTAAGTCCTCTATCTCATTATCTGTTTCTCTTTTATTCTGATGGTTATGAAGATGGAATAAAATATTAAGAGGAGACAGGCAGAAGAAGGTAAAAATCCAGATCCGATACCAATAACAATTTCACTAAATCCCGATGTCTAAAAATCATGTACCATATCCTTACCATCTCCTGAGTCGGATGAATCATAAGGTACAGGAAGGAACAAAATCAGATATATGTAATACTAATCCTTAACCACTACCTACCTCCAGTGTCAGATGATGAATCATCAGGAACAGGAACAAAATCAGATATGTACTTTCACTAAAATAGATGTTTACTTATCCTCAACCAAACTACCTTCACCGTCTGAATCATCCGGAAGAGGAAAAATATCAGAGGCATTTATCCTAACTAAACCCTGAAATATGCGATACCATTCTACCTCCATGAGCTCTTTAGTCTTGAAGACCTTGCCCGGAAACCAAGGCACGTCACAAACATACACTAACATGTACTCGGGGGGATCAGGATAACCATTTAAGGTGTGAAGATTCAGCATATCGCGAGCTTGATCTTCCAAGTCAGACATGTCATCACAAGTACGAAGATCAACCTCATCTACAAAATGATGTATGGAGTCTGGAGTAAATCGACAAACTCCTACCATCCTAGGTAGAAACCTATCAAATGCCACTATCTTGACTAACATTTGAACAACTTGAGGCCATGGAAATGCCTCAAGTTGTTGTCTAGACAGCCTACCATTTTTGGTGATATAATCTATCTCAAACCCATCGTTGGGATCATTAATACCATCAAGGTGATGGTTCGCCAGCAAGAGCATAACTTGCTGCCCAATTGCAGCCACACTGTCGAATTGCACCAGAACAAGTTCTTGTACCAAATAAGAATTGTCATACGTATTTCGGTAAACTGGAACCCCTCCACCACCGCCAACTGGTTCATCGCCTCCGCCTCCATCATCATCGCTGTCGACGACAATGATGTTGATGTCATCATCACCATCGACGCCGATGACATTGATGTCATCATCGCCGTTGTTGTCATCGTTGTCATCAGAGCTATTGCTGTCAGATTCTTCAGCACCAGCTGCTGCAGCACCTGCTGCAGATGACATCAAGGCACCTATGACATTAAAAGAATTATTACAACCACAACTTTGGGAACAAGATCGTATGCCTAAAATAAAAATGAGTTCCAACACACCAGCGGGAGGTTTAGTGTTCTTGAAAAAGACGATTAATATAGGCTTTTTTCTGCTGAGCCAAATCTGTAACTGTATAAAATCAACAAATTCCCCAAGAGGCATTTTCTCTTCACTTTCTCTTTCAATTTCTTCCCCTTTTACTTTTTGAGGTTCCTCTGAATCAGCTTGGCATCTTTTTCTTTGGGGAATAACTTGGAAGAAAGAATCCTTCCAATTCCTTGTTTCCAAAAACTTGAGTAGTAGCACCTGCGCCCAACCCACCAAAACCAAAAAAACAACAATGGTAACTCAACCTCAGTCAAACAGTGTTACAAATTAAGAATTGAGAATTAAAAGAGAGAGATTATTGATACCTGGGAAGAGGACATGTTCAGGTAGTTGGCTATGATAAGTTTTGCCTTTTGGATGCCCTGCCCCTCTGCTTTCTTCATGGTGATCCCTTTCCACTGATTCCGATCCACCAGTCGTCCAACAATGCATACATTGTTCAAACCAAGATCGTCAACCACATTTTCTGAATCATCAGTGTAATATACGAGATTTTGCTTTTCATTTTCCAAAGCTTCTATGTATGATCGATCTTGCTTCTCTATAATCCAATCATCAAAGCTCAGGAGCCTCTTCAATTGTGTAGCCATCTCTCCCTTGCACACAGTCAGCCATAGATGCCTCTTCAATTTGAGACTGTTCTCTGCAAATTTCAAATGAAACATCACAACCACATACAAAATTCCCTTACCCAGAAATTAAATAACAACTTCAAACACAAGTATGGCAAGAAATTCTTTTCCAAGTAATCCATAACCACTATCAACCCTGCAGCTATGAAGTTTTGAAATAACTTTTAAACTGCAGAGGCCATTTTCTCACAAAGAAGATAGATAACTACACACACGGTATACGTCTTTGCATGGAAAAAGAAAACTTCAGCCTTATCCCAAAAAAGGGTCCACTATTTAGAACCCCTCAATTTATCAAACAAAAAAAAGTTGGATATAAAAATTCACACCAGAAAAAGAAAAGCGACTGTTATCTATCAAGCAACCTCCAATCCCAAAAGGGCAAATACTCATTACTCTGGTTGAAAAATTAAGCATCCAAAAATTACCACCAAATACTAAAACAAACCAAAATAACCACCCAAAAAGACAAAACAAGCAAAGCACCTGTAACATCAAAGAATTATTCCACAACTTCAGGAAGATATTGTGCCTAATATCTAATTGAGTAGCAACTCACCAGTCGGGGTTTTAGCGTTCTTGAAAAAGACAAATATAGGCTTCTTTATGCTGAGCCCGCTCTGTAACTGAATAAAATCAACAAATTCTCCAAGAGGCGTATTAGCAGGGACATGGTATCTGCAATCAGAAAAGCAGGATAGGCAACCAGGTAGTAATAAGTACGTTCTCCTTTCTGTATGCAAGTCTTATTACTGATATGGACTAAAAAAATTACTTGGTGGGAATCTTTCGCTGCTTAGGTAATCAATTCATGCAAACCATGATAATCAGGACCGCTCCTAGAACTCCAACTAATATACTCAAACGTTTTTCCCTCCACTAACTTTTTGGTAAAAGTGCTAACTCTAAATGAACAATACGCATGATTAGATCCTATCTACGTGTGTATAGTTCGCACTTACACTTTAAAATGGACAACTTACAAAATAACAACATAACATGTATTGGGTTCTCTAAATATATTTTCTTTCTTTTTCTTTCCTTTTTCTGACGGATTTCAAAACATGTATCAGAAGCATTAATGAAAAGGAAACAATCCTATTCCATTATAGCAATACAAATCAAGATAATTAAAGTAAAAGGGAATTGGAAACTAATGTCTTCATGTCAAAGTCAGGAATGTCACACCTTGCATGCTTCTCCACAATCACATGCATGAAAGCTCAAATTAGAACAGGTATATCCCACTGAATGCATAGGAAGCAAACATGATTGATGGAGTGAAACTCTTACTAGTTCATAATTTGGATGCTTCTCCCTCAATTGCCCAGCTTCTAAACAAGCGTTTGTATCTATCCATCAGATTCCTGAACACATATCAAAAGCATAAATGAAAAAATAACAATCCTATTACTTTTGTAACAATAAAAATCAAGATAATTAAAGCACAAGGGTATTCGCAACAAACTCTTCTCCTCACTGAAGTGCTTGAAATAACCCTTAATCTACATAGACCGTCTTATCACAAATAATAATAATAATAACTACACACTGTCTATGATTTTGCATGAAATAATTAAAATTCATCCTTTACCAAACAAGGTTTACATTTTAGAACCCCACAATTTGATTCCCTCAAGCAAAACAAGTTGGATACAAAAATTCAAACACACCAGTACACCATGATGAATATTGATATATCAAATTTGGACAACTTTTCCATTCATTCAAAAATGCAGTCACAATGCTCTAATTAATCATGGGAAGGGGCTTGACTTGTTGAGTCTTGAGCGCACTGTTTTTTGCTTTCAAATTGATCATTTTTCTCTTCACTGTCAACCCCTTTCACTTGTTGAGATTGCTCTGAATCCGCTTGGCATCTTTTTCTTTGAGGAATCACTTGGAAGAAAGAGTCCTTCCAATTCTTTGTTTCCAAAAACTTGAGTAGAATCTCTATCACTTGATTCACAGTCAGCACCTGCCCCAAAAACCCAACAAAACCAAAACCAAAAAACACAATGTCAACCCAACCTCAATCAAGCAATTGCAATTGCCGGCTATTTATTTAACAGCTATAATTGAAAATTGAAATATGTATGACCTGGGAAGAGGACATGTTTAAGTAGTTGGCTATGGGAAGCTTTGCCGTTTGAATGCCCTGCTCCTCTGCTTTCTTCATGGTGATACCTTTCCACCGATTCCGATCCACAAGGCCCCCAACAATGTATATCTTGCTTGAATCAAGATCATCAACCACATTTTCTGAATCAGCTGTCAGATATACCAGATTTCGCTTTTCATCCTCCAAAGCTTCCATGTACGATCGATCTTCCTTCTCTATAATCCAATTATCAAACCCCGGGAGCCTCTTCAGTTGCGTACCCATCTCTCCCTTGCACCCCGTCAACCATAGATGACCCGGCTCCCTGCATCTTTTATTCACCGCGTAACAATACATAATCTGCATTCACAATTTCAATTAAACATAATTTAGAGACGAACTCTACCGTAATTAAGAACTAATTAATTAAGAATGAAAGCAAAACAAAGCAACGCCAACCTGTTGAACGAGGCTGTTGATCTCGGCTGGGGTCATGAGGTGAGAGAATTCGAGGTCGATCACAATCTTCTGTCCGCACTCTTTGGCTCTGCTCAGTCTCTCTGTGTTTCTCTCTCGCTCCTCTGACCTCTGCTCCATCCTCTCCTTCCTTAAACTCTTCCTCGACTCTATCAGCTTCCCCCTCTCCTCTTCGCTAACGCTCGCCAATCTCTCCTCCCATTCCTTCCGCTTCCGCTCCCCCTCTCTCTTCTTCTGCTCTTTTTCCAGAGCTTTCTTCTCTGCCTTCTTCGCTTCCCATTTCTGCTGCTTTAACAGCTTCTTCTGTGCGCTCTTCGACAGTCCTCCGCAGTAGTTCCTACCTTCTTCCGCTTCGGGCCCTTTTCCCTCATTATCTCTGCCCTCCATTGTTCGATTGCTCAATGCTACCCTCTACAACTACAATCGAGAGATGGAAGCTTCTTCCTCAGCGCTTTGGATGTTTTGCTAGGGTTTAAGTTGTTTTTTCACTAACGATTACGATAGCTGCGAATAACGGAACGACGTCGTCGGCTGCTCGGAGAGATTGAGGACGGACAAACCTTGGTCGGTTTATCCGGGTCGAATAAAGTATCGGCCCCTTTAGCCCTTCGGGCCCTTCCCCTTGGGATAATTCAGGAATGGATTATCCAAGCCAGTCTCCTTTTTAAATTTTGTCGAAACAAGCCCCATGTTTTTTTCAGTCAAATAACCAAGTCCCATATTCAAATTGCGAATAAAAAAAAGAAAAACTAAAACAGCAAATGACTCAATGATCCTCCATCTCAGTTTGATAAAAGTTTCCAACATGACCTATAAATGAGTTGATTTGGGTTTTAGACGTGTGGCACAATTCGGTTTAGAGCATTGTTGTTGTTGTTAACCAAAGTAAACATATCGATATCAATTTTCTGTATTTGCAGTCACGTAAATAGATTGATTTGTTTTACCCAAATATCTGATTTCGGTTGGTTGATTTTAATTCCATATTAAACTTATAATTAAATTTGTTGTGCTCATGCCCAAACAACATCATGTGCAATAGTGTCACATCACACGGAAATGCAAAATCCAAATGTCTTCAAGTAGACATGTAATTTTGTCTTATGTTGGAGCATAATAATTAGTATTTTAGAGGTCAACCTCAATATAAAGTTGTTGAATACAGTGTTAATGCAGTGAATGTAAATTCATGTATCGTAACTATACAAGCTTCCACTTCCAAAACCAATACATAGCCCAATTTCACCATTAGCAACCAAAAGATGTTTGTGATGATCTAGACTCAGTACTCCTTGTGTTGTGGTGGGATGACCCATTTGAAATGCTGGTAAATGGATGAACATGTATAGTTACATTTTGTATTTATTTTTAATAAAAATAAAAAGACTGACTGACCCATGATATGTGACAGAATTTTGTGAATACAAAGCAAGGGTATGGGAGTAACTTTGATAATTTACTTATTTATTTTTGTTTTTGAAAGTGGGTAAGTTTTGTAATTACTGTTCATATGCAGGTACTTCATGTGCGAGTTGTTCATGCTTCACAACGACGTAAACCACTATTTCCCCCATTTGTTCTTATGTTTGGTTTGGTATTTTACAATTGCACCCATAACAGAAAGACTTTTCTCTTCGTGACAGACACAAACACAACGCCGACAACGGCACAATTTGTAATGAAGAATCTTTTATTAATTTATGCAAGAACTTCTATTTGTCTTTTTAATTTAGTTTGTGTCACGCAATTCAATTCATATATAAATATATGTATTTAATGTGTTAAAATTTTTTTATGTATTATTTCATGCTCAGGGGACCACCAGTGACAAGTAGTCATTACTTCACGCTTTTACTTCTCCCATGCATGATGCAATAGTATATATTTTATTTATTATTATAAAGCAATAGACAGTATGAAGAAACTACTCAAATCTACAGTGACTGTAATACAATTTTAAAACTTTAAAATCAAATCTAGATTTATTTTGAATGTGATCCACGAGGACATCAAGGAGAAATAACTAAAATATAGGGGCAGGAAAGGAAAAGTACCGTATATAGAAATGGAGTTCGGACTCGTGATGTAAATATTAAATATAATCCAAACAGCTTATGAAGTCAGCATTTTCTTGAAATTTCACTTACATTTGCAGTTCATTTCGCATTGTTGTTCGAAAAAGCCCAACCCCTCCGAGACTTGAGAGAGAAAGAGATAGAGAGAGACAAACGGACTCAGGCACTCAGTGACTCAGCCAGAAAAAAAAAAGAGAAGAAAAACCCCCCTCTTCCTTCACAACTTTGAATCTCGCCCTTATCAACTCCATGAGAGAGGTCTTCCTGCCGTGAAACGACAGCGTTTGCGCCCCGAAGAAATGGCCCAAAACCTTGAGCAGCAGCTCAAGGAGGTGGGATCGAAGCTCGAAACCCCTCATTCCTCCAAAGACGCTCTCGTGAAGCTCCTAAAGGTTTGCATTCCTCTAATTTCTTAGTTTCTATAGGCAATTTTCTGTCGCTTACAGCTCGTTCGAAGTTAAATTGCAAAGCTCTTGGTTTCGGGGAATTTGACGCTCTCTAACGTTAGTTATTTTAGTTATTTTCTGTTTGGTTGCTAGGAAACCAGTGAAAGGAAGCGAAATTAATAGTTAGAAATTTCTTTTTCTAATTTATTTTCTGTAACGTATACTATTTCTCTTTGCTAATTTCATTTTCGAAACTGAAATTCTCGGTTACAGCAAGTAATCTAACTAGTTGAATTAGGGTTTTCTTAGGGGATTAAACAGAGGGTAATCTTGAGACGTCACATTAAACTTCCTTTTTTATGGCAAGAAACATAACAAATTAACTTCCTTTTTGGTTTTGGGGATTAAACGGAGTGTTCAGTGAAATCTGTCTGTTTAGAGGTTTTAAATTCCTTATGGTTGAAAAAGTTCAGGGCAATTTCGTTGATTTAGGTTATTCATTCGCTAATGCTATGTGGTTGTAGTGTTGAGTTATGTCTGAAAGCTGCACTTGTTGGTTAGATGCCAATGAAGTGAGTGGAAGAAACGAAATCGGGTTCTGAGTCTCTAGTGTTAACATGATATTGTTTGCAGGATCGATATTGTTGTAAAACATTTTGCTTTTAGCTGTAGTTTAAGGATATGTATAGTTCACTTGTATTTTATAGGAAGATGGTTCATTCTTGCTAATTGTCTCCCAATGTACCACCTACCAGTACTAATGTGGAAGAAAAATTTACCCAATCTATGTGATAAATATGTTGGTGATCTAAAAGTAGATAGAAGTGTTTGGTCATATTGGAAACTTGAGGGTGGTGTTGCACTTAAAGAGGATCTTGATAGGTTGGTTCTGAAGTCTTATAGTTGTAGTGGTGTTTTGGTGCTTGGGTGGTAAGTTGGTGATCCAATTGGAGTGATGTTTGAAGTGCTAAATAACGCTATATAACCACAGTATGTTTGATTATGCCAGTCCTTGGAAATTTCATCCCTTGTTTGTGTAGGGTTCTTTTAGTTTACTCAATTATTTTTTTTATATAGCTGGTGGCCTGGTAGTGGAAAATAATGATAGAATCTTCCTTCCCAATTGAAATGACTATTAGAATTATGGAAATTTCTCTGTTGTTTTATTTTCATTTGGGACTATTAGAATAAATCCTTATGATATTATCTTTGTCGTTCATCATTTGCCTCACCAATAAATGCGTGCTATGTGGAATTTTTTCCTTTTAAAAGACACTCTAAACATTCTTCTAATCATCAGTAGGCTATAGAGGATAATTATTCTGTAATGTGGATGCTTATACTTGTGAGACTATTGACTTTCCATGTAAAGTTAGGTTTAATTAATGAATACTTGCTATTATTTTCTTCCAACTTGCAGCAAGCTGCATCATGTCTTTCCGAGTTGGACCAATCACCTCCAGCATCTACATTGGAGTCAATGCAGCCTTTCCTTAATGCAATTGTCAAGCCAGAACTGTTGAAGCATCAAGATAGAGACGTCAAGCTTCTAGTTGCAACGTGTATTTGTGAGATAACACGGATTACTGCACCTGAAGCTCCTTATAGTGATGAGGTGCTAAAGGTGCGTTATCAAAGAGTCAGCTGGTTAAATGATATACTGCACTTTCATGTTGTGAATGCGTTTTGGAATTTCACATCCACGATCTCACCGATTGTTCCATACATCTTTGCAGGACATATTTCATTTGATTGTGGGCACTTTTAGTGGATTGAAAGATACAAGTGGTCCATCATTTGGTAGGAGAGTTGTCATTTTGGAGACTCTTGCGAAATATAGGTCATGTGTTGTAATGTTGGACCTTGAATGTGATGATCTGGTGAATGAAATGTTCAGTACATTTTTTGCCGTTGCCAGGTTTGTTTTGTTTCTTTGAAATATTTGTTCATGAGTTTGAGGAATGTCTTGTTTTCATAGTCTTATCATATCCTCCAAAACGTGGGATTCTCTCTAAGGTGGTCATTGTTGTTCCCACTCTGTTTCATGAATCAATTACTTTGATTAAGTTACTTGGATCTTTCTCATCTATATATGTTACTTTATATTTCCAAGATAATGTCTGTAGATCAGTCTGATAAGGGCATCAACACCAATCTTGGTTAGCTATAGCTTTCCTATACGAGATAGAACGAAAGATGCAATAGCCAACATATTATACAGCTAAACTGTATGACGAATTTTTTTTTTTTTTTGGGGGGGGATGGTGTGTGTTCACTGGCTGTTAGAATATATATTTTTGTTTTCTCTCTAAATGTTTATTTCTTAGAATTTAAACTGAAGTAAGAGTTTCAGCTCCAATTTAAAAACTAATGTTTTGAAATTGTCACATATGCAGAGATGATCACCAAGAAACTGTTCTATCATCGATGCAAACAATTATGATTGTTCTCTTAGAAGAGAGCGAGGATTTGCGAGAGGATCTTTTACTTGTTGTATTGTCTATATTAGGTCGGAATAGAAGTGTAAGAATCTCTTCCCTATTTTCTGGTGTATGGAATTAATTTTTTCGTTTTTGGTCAAGTTACATGTATTTTACTGCTACAATTCTTTTGACTGACTTGGTAAAATTCAAATACTAGGATATTACCGTGGCTGCTAGGAGGCTTGCCATGAAAGTTATAGAACACTGTGCAGGAAAGCTTGAATCTGGCATTAAGCAATTCCTTATATCATCAATGTCAGGAGACAACAAGTCGGTGAATCATCAGATTGATTACCATGAAGTGATCTATGATGTATATTGTTGTGCTCCCCAAATCTTGTCAGGAGTCGTCCCTTACCTAACTGGAGAGCTACTGGTAAATACTAATCCAATGTCTTTCATTTCACCTCTTCCCCGATACACGTATGGTACTTAACTATATTGAGTTTTGTAACTGGGTTCTTTGTGCTAAAACCATCCTATTAGTCTAAATGAGTGACTTGATGTCATTAGCAACAGATGATTTTGCTGTTTTTCTTCCTCTTCAAAAGTTAATGTTCTCCAGGAACTTGATCTTATTTCATACTGTAGGCATTGATATTTCTAAGTTTGATGAATAAATTCTCAGTTACAATTTTCAACATCTGCAGACTGATCAGCTAGACACTCGTTTGAAAGCTGTTAGTTTAGTTGGAGATCTATTTTCTCTGTCCGGATCTACCATCTCTGAAGCATTTCAGCCAATCTTTTCAGAGTTCTTGAAGAGGTTGACTGATAGAGTTGTGGAGGTTCGCATGTTGGTCCTCCAACATGTGAAGAGCTGTATGCTGTCAAATCCTTTCAGAGCTGAAGCTCCCGAAATAATTTGTAAGTGCAATGGATTATATTTACAAAATTTGTACATATCTTACACCTGCTGATTTTGAGTTGGGTTAACATTTTCTAGCGGCCCTCTGTGACCGGCTGTTGGACTTTGAAGAAAAAGTACGGAAGCAAGTTGTTGCTGTAATTTATGATGTGGCTTGTCATGCCCTTAATTCTATTCCACTGGAAACTATAAAACTTGTTGCAGAGCGCCTTCGAGACAAATCTGTATATACACTTGTCCTTTTTATCTTTGTTTGTGCCCATTTTGTTTTTGCTCCATTTTTATTCATAATTTTCCAAATCAGTTGCTTGTTAAAAAGTATACCATGGAGAGGCTAGCTGAGATATACAGGGCTTATTGCGCAAAGTGCTCTGATGGTTCAATCCTTTCCAGTGAATTTGATTGGATTCCTGGGAAGATTCTGAGATGTTTTTATGACAAAGATTTCAGGTAAGCCCTTGAAGGTTTTCATATATATTTTTTTTATTTTTTTTAAAAAGCAAACAAATAGGTTTGCATGATCCACAATATGAACATCAAGTAAGAAGAAGCCTCAGAAGTTTGTGCCATTTGGAATGTTAGGAACGAAGTAATGGTTTATCTTAATTTATATCCCATTCACCCCACTTGTGCAATCTTTTTTGTTAATAAGATGTGTTTCTTATAAAAAGGTACTGACTCACCCTATGACATGTTCATCATCTGGTTGATTTGTATATATATATATATATATATAGATAACCAGGGTTCCTGGATTGGCACTTGACATAGGTTAAACTCTAAGATGCGTGGGTGGTATATCATGTTTATTGTTGAGATTCAGGTTTTGTCAACTGCAAGAGCAGCAACTCAGATTATTTGCATTGAATGATCTTGTTTGTATGATGAGCAGCACATCAGATGATTTGTTGTCTGTTGGTAGCTTTAAAAGTATTCTATCCTGTGAGGGTTTTCCCAACTGCTGCATACTTCATGAGTCTGAATTTTGAGCATTTAACTTTTAAACACTTAAATTTTGCAGATCAGATACAATTGAAAATGTTCTCTGTGAGTCCCTCTTCCCAACCAATTTTTCAGTCAAAGATAAAGTTAAACATTGGGTGAGGGTCTTCTCAGGATTTGATAAAGTTGAGGTAAAGGCTCTTGAGAAAATACTGGAGCAGAAGCAAAGGTGTGTTGTTAATGCTTGGAATTGATACCAGGCTATGAATTTCGATAATCCTCTCAACTCTTTGATATTGGTATTTGATGAACTGTGTACTGAGTTTGAGGGAATTTCTTCTTATATTGCAGGTTACAACAAGAGATGCAGAAGTATCTGGCACTTAGGCAGATGCATCAGGTTAGCAAATGTTTGGAGTTAGTAACTGTGAAATGTCATATGATAACCCAGGCAAAGTGATTGGTTCTCGTCCAAATGCAGGATGGTGATGCTCCTGAGATCCAAAAAAAAATTATTTTTTGTTTCCGTATAATGTCACGCTTGTTTGCTGACCCTGCAAAGGCTGAAGAGAATTTTCAGTTTCTTGATCAATTGAAAGATGTTAACATCTGGAAGATTTTAACGAATCTTGTTGATCCCAACACTAGCTTCCAGCAAGCTTGTACTTTACGGGTAAGGAATAACTCACTGACCGATACAATAATTCCATATATTTTTAATTTGGAATACTGAAGAGCGAACTATCAAATGCAAATTCCGGTCTTTAAACTCAAAGCCTAGTATAAGATATGATCTTCTGAACCCAACTTGCCCTCTTGTTACTGATTTATAGGAAGACATGGTGACTGCATGTCAAGGTTGTAATTTAAACTGGTATTTATGCAATCTTTCCTGATTTGCAGGATGATTTGCTTAAGATTCTGGGTGAAAAACACCGGCTGTATGATTTTCTTAGCACGCTCTCTGTGAAATGTTCATATCTACTTTTCAACAAGGAGCACGTGAAGGAAATTCTTCTGGAGGTTGCTGTACATAAATCTACTGCAGATATGAAATATAAGATATCTTGCATGAATATTTTGGTGGTAATGACACAAAATTCTTACTTTCTCTTTTGTAGATAAATCTGTAAAATGTTTGCTCTCATTACTTTCTCAACAACAACCATGCTCCATATTCATCTATGCTTTTGCTTTCTAGTATTTATGTGTTATCTGCCAGAGTCAAAATACTCTATTATATGAATTAGTAGGTTCTTAACAATATTACCTTGTGTGGCTTCATACATGACCGTTAGCAAGAATTTGTAGTATTATTCCCCCAAAATTTAAGCCAATGTTATTTGAGTATTGTCAAGTCAACGTTCCTAATTCTCCTTTGATGTATTTCCAGATTCTTGCACGCTTTAGTCCATTACTACTCAGTGGGACAGAAGAAGAACTGGTAAATTTGCTTAAAGATGATGATGAAACTATAAAAGAAGGGGTCTTGAATGTTTTAGCAAAGGCTGGTGGTACCATACGGGAACATCTTGCAGTGTCATCAAGGTTCGACTATAATAATTTTGTAACTTTTAGATTATTCGCCTTGTATATATTGCTCATTGTTGCCCCAATTTTCTATTGCAGTTCCATAGACCTTATACTCGAGAGGCTGTGTTTGGAGGGCAGTCGACGACAGGCAAAGTATGCTGTACATGCCCTTGCAGCGATAACAAAGGATGATGGACTTAAATCGCTTTCTGTTTTATACAAGGTTTAAGATTATAATGAATTTATGCATCACAAGTAGATCCCCTTAATTTTACAATTTCATGATAGTTTTAGGAGTTGGGAAGTTTATGTTTCTCAATTTGCAGAGGCTTGTGGATATGCTGGAGGAGAAGACACATTTGCCTGCTGTGCTACAATCTCTGGGGTGTATAGCTCAGACAGCAATGCCAGTTTTTGAAACAAGAGAGAAAGAAATTGAAGAGTTTATAGTAGAAAAGATTCTAAAATGTGATAATGTATGCCTTTCGAACTCACTGCAACTGCACTTTGTGTTATATTTTTGATTTTATGACAGGATGACAATTTGTTTTCGTGCATATACTTTTCAGAAATCAGGTGATAGTAAAAATGCGTCGTGGGATGACAAAAGCGAGCTTTGTTTGCTAAAGGTTGGTCAATTTGGAGAGATGTTTGTTTTTGTTTACCATATGGAATAATCTGGGTTTATTTTATTTTATTTTTCAGTTTCGATCCCCCCCAAGGAATTAAAAAGAATGTTTATGCAAATTTTCCAGGATTTAATTGTGTAATCTAGTGATACTGTTTTGATGTATTACCTTTTCGCCAAATTCCTTATACATTGGATTGTACTTTCTTTTTTTGAACTGTAGATATATGGGATAAAGACATTAGTGAAAAGCTACTTGCCTGTCAAAGATGCTCATGTTCGCCCTGGGTCTGGCATTGATGGTCTGCTGGAAATCTTAAGAAACACACTTTCTTGTGGAGAAATATCAAAAGACATAGAATCAAGGTAATATAAAAACTGTACATTTTTCACTTCTGGTTGATCAATCTACCTCAGTTTGTTGCTTGTAATTTGAGGCGTCAAATTTCATTTGAAGTTTTTGTGATGTACAGTTCAGTTGACAAGGCCCATTTGAGGCTTGCTTCGGCAAAGGCGGTTCTTCACCTGTCAAGGCACTGGAATCATAAAATACCAGTCGATGTCTTCCACTTAACCTTGAAGACTTCAGAGGTGGAGACCTTTCATTTTAAGATTTTCTGTATTACGTGCTGTAATTTTGTTTTTCCTAATACAGGTTCTTAATAGTCATATTCAGCTAGATGTCAATTTTTTCATCTTTATTAATTTGTTCTTTTTCTGGTCTTCTAGATTAGTTTCCCTCAAGCTAGGAAACTATTCCTGAACAAAGTTCATCAATACATAAAGGACCGGCTTTTAGATGCAAAATATGCTTGTGCATTCTTTTTCAACATATTTGGATCAAAGTCACCAGAGTTCCAAGAGGTATCCATACTTGGCTTGATTCATTCAAAGTTATCCATGTTTAAGTGCGTTTATTGGCTGAATTTTGGATTTTGGCTGAAATGGCAGGAGAAACAGAATCTAGCTGACATTATTCAAATGTATCACCAAACAAAGGCGCGGCATCTCTCTATGCAATCTGATGCCAATTCCTTGACTGCTTATCCGGAGTACATCCTGCCATACTTGGTTCATGCCCTTGCTCATCATTCTTGTCCTAATATTGATGAATGCAAGGATGTCAAAGCATTTGAAGTGATATACCGGTATTGTATTGTCTTAGTTAGATAAGTAGATACTGTTTCATGTGAAATAGCATTCTTTCTAATTGCTGGAAGTGAAATATGTTTTGGTGCTTGACTGATTGAGAAAAGCGAAGGATTATCTTTTAACCCCAGAATTTGTAGTTATTAATACTCTCTTGGCATTTATTATATTGGCAATGCTCATTCTCACTGAGTTGTTGTTTTCTGTATTTTTCAGGCAATTGCACTTAATTCTGTCTATGTTGGTGCATAGAGATGAAGATGTCAAGTCAGAATCTATTAGCAACATTGAAAAGGAGGACATTTCTGCTATAATCTCTATCTTTCAAAGTATCAAGTGCTCTGAAGATATATGCGATTCAGCAAAGTCAAAGGTTGAAATTTTTTGTTCATAGTGTTTTTTATTCAGTTTTTCTGAGTATATTCAATAATTGACGACTCCTCCCATTTTCAATCTTACATATGTAATATTTTCAAATTTCCAGAATTCACATGCTATTTGTGACCTTGGGCTATCAATTACCAAGCGCTTAGCCCCAAAGGAGAATGATTTACAAGGACTGCCTGCATCTGTTCCTCTGCCTTCTATGCTGTACAAACCATATGAAAAGAAAGAAGGAGATGACTCTATGGTAAGGGATCTCTTCTTGTTGTTCTCTTACTGGATAAGACATGTAATGACCAAGAGCAGGCTCCTTGATTATGTGTTGGGCGTGTGGTTTTAGGTTCAGGACAATTGATTGATTAAATCCACATTTTAGACTTGGAGTTATTGAATTTACAAGAGTTGAGAACTCAAAACAATATGACTTTGACAAAAGAACTGAAAACAATGACTTAAGGAAAAAAAAAAAAAAACCTTCAAAATAAGAGAAACTCAGGCTGTATCATTTTATAGAAGGAATCACTTCCATGATATGCGAATGACCCAGACCGTCTAATTCCTTGTGGCTAAACTACTCATGTTAAGCTACATTAAGTTATTTTCTTTTACATATTTGGATATTTCGGGCCATATTCTCAGTTTTCTGTGATATCTATTAATATAATGTATGTGTTTGATAGGCCACTGAAGGGCAAACGTGGTTGGCTGATGACAATGTGCTGGCTCACTTTGAATCTCTTAAGTTAGAGACTAGTGAAACGGTATATTATACTGCTGAAGGACACTAACACTCTCTTGAAATATGCTGTGATATTTGGTGCATCATTGTTCTTCTTAGTAACGTGTGCGATGCTTCTTTCATCATAACAGGGGTTTTCAGAAATTGCAGAAGATGAGCTTTTGAAAGATGGTGAAAGAGATGGAAGTGAGGTGCCTTTAGGAAAAATTATTAAACGCATAAAATCTCAGAATTCCAAGGCTAAAAAGGTGAAAAAGAACAAGGCTTCATCAGCTGATGCAGAGAATGCTGAAAATAGTGTTGATATCTTGAAAATGGTCAGGGATATAAATTTGGATAATTTGGAAAAACCTACTAAATTTGAGTCAAGCAATGGTCATGAAAATTCTCCAAAAAAGAATTTAATGGATCTAAAGTACCAAAAGGGTAACAAAAGAAAAGCTAGTGATGAAACATCTGTCTCAGTACCTAAACGGAGGAGGTCGTCATCCACTCACAGTGCTTCCAGATCAGCAAGGAGTACTTTAAAGTCTCCTTTAAGTGCTTCAAGGGATGATCCACACAATGTAAGAATTTTTACCATTTCTTACCATTTCTTACCATTGACATGAATTCCAAGATTCATCCCAACTCAAAAGATAAAATTTATATGCAGAGAAAATTGGTTGAAATCACTGAGTCTGATTTGTTGGTATCGTGCATCCGGAAGAATGCTACCTCCTCATCACAACGTAAAGGCAGAGCCTCTGACCATGGTCATAATGATGAGGCAAATGAAGTTGGAGAAGCCAGTGACCATGAAGTGAGCAATCCTACTATTCAACCTTTTTTTCTCTCTCAAAATTACGTACCCTCATGGTTCTGTTAGCTGTTCAACATTTTATTGTACTTATGTTCTACCTCTATTGCAGGAGCCTAATGTGCTGGAGGCTGACAAGGATGACCCAAATAGTGACTTCAAGTTTCCTACAGGACCCATCAAGAAGAGGAAAAGAAAAAGTATTCCTGGTTTGGCAAAGGTAAGTTGATTGACACCTCAACCAACATTACATTGGGGATCTCGTTAAAACTGGCACATTTTCCTTTATGGTATAATTAGTATGTCATTCCTGAATGCATTTTTCCTTTTCTATCCCTAGTGCAAATTCAAGGAAGGTGGAAAAGATGTTGAAGACTTGATTGGTTGCAGAATAAAAGTTTGGTGGCCAATGGATAAGAAGTGAGTTCTCTAATAGAATAATTTCCAGATAAGAATTACAGAAGGAAGCTCTTCCTTTTGTTCCTTATTATATCCAAAAAGCTTTTCCGTTCATTTTTAAGTTTGGTATTATATTAGCAACTGCAACAATATGATTATTAGCTAGTACATAATGAAGCACTAGAATACTTCTTTGGCTTATTTTACTGGCAAAATCTGCAGATTTTATGAAGGAACAGTGAAGTCTTATGATACGTTAAAGAGGAAGCATGTGGTAAGCTGCACCTTCTTTCCCTTATCATCTCTTGGATATATAGATTACTTGTAAATGTGCATTACAAATAGTTTTCACTCTTGATGTCATATGGAAGATACTATATGAGGATGGAGATGTAGAAGTACTTCGCTTAGAAAAGGAACGGTGGGAGCTCATTGACAAAGGTCGAAAGCCCACAAAGGTGTGAAAAGTATATATCAGAATTCTGTTATCTAGCTGATCGTTCTACTTACATTTCCAGTAAAGCAATGAGTCATGACATAATCCTAACACATTACACATGTTCCCCATTTACAGAAATTTCATTCTTCAAAGAAATCCCCTTCAAAAGAATTGTAAGTATTTGTTCTTCAAAGTGATTGGCAAATGTTTCTCAAATGGGGAGTCTTTGTTGGGCTTTAATGGGATAGGGGCGTGTATGTTTATGGTATGCTATCTTAATTTTCTTCTGTCATTTGTTACAGGTCACCTGTTCAAAAAAGTAAAGGCATAGGTGGTTCACGTCAGAACAAGAAATCAATTAAAGTGTGAGTGAATTTTCCATCCCTGGCTCATTTATATGATACTTTTATTTTCACTTGTAATAAAAATTGTAAACATGATTGGTCTCTGATTTTATAGAGTTAAAGGGAGAAGAACGCCGAATAAGAACTTGGACAAGGGCGTATCAAAGAGGAATCATTGGGGAAGTAGGGACAAAGAGGATTCTGATGTGTCAAATGTTGAGCCCGCCCTTACATCTAAAGTTGATGAAATGAACTCGGGTAAGGTTTCTCTTTAAGTTTGCAACTTGATATACATATGTTATACCATTCTATAATGGGACAACATTCTCGCTAAAGGTTGAGATAAACCTGTAAGAATTCTTACTCTTACCTGTTTTTTGTGCATATCTTTTACGCATGGCCAATGCGTGTAAGTTTCCCAGCTAGCATCAACTATGAAGATTTTTTTTTTCTTGGCTTGTCGATAATCAATTTGTTCTTTTGCAGATACTTCAGAAGGAGAGGATGTTGAAAAAGTGGATGAAAATGTGACAGATGAGGGGGAATCTGACAAGGAAGTGAAGTCAGTTTCCAAAAGAAAACGATTGGAAGATGCAGAAGAAAGTCCACATCACACTGAGGAATCTGATGAAGAGAATCCTGATTCTGAAGGGAGGCCTGCTGAAGATATACTGCAAGATGCTCAAAATGGCAATGAGGAGGAACATCATTCAGAAGAGAAACAAGCAGATGAACTCAGCAGAGGCTCAAGAGAGGCTAATGAGGAAGATCCGTCAGATTCTGAAGGGAATCAAGAAAAAGATGACAGTGCTGGTAGTCCCATAAAACAGGAGAAACCCCATGTAGAGCCTTCGAGTCCTGATGATGCTGGGGATCCCGAAATTTCTGATGATGAGCCTCTTGTACTTGCCTCCAGCCTTGCTTTTACATACCCTAAACAAAAAAGAAGTGTTAGTGGTGTTTTGAGCTTAGTTGTTGGTTTTAATTGTCTTTTTTCTCCTCTGGATGCAGAGCAAGTGGACGGATCGAGTAGTGAAGAGGGGTTCAAGGCGAGCACGATAAGTGGTCTAATCCACTTTTACCATTTAGCTTTGCTTGGCTGTGGGCGGGGGCTGCAGATCCTAGTGCAATCTGGTGGCGTTTACAGTTTGGTGTGGAAAGCAGAGGAAAAAGAAGAATGGGAAAAGGCTAATAAATGTAATGAGCTGCAGTTGGGTTGGGCGTGAGGTTGGATTGTAGATTGTAAAAATAACAGTGTAGGCATATATAGCTTCCCACTCTAGCTCTAGGTAAAACAAGGTGTTAGTTCGTGTAACATTGTTGGGGCATATCATTCTACTCTATAGTATACTCTACTCTACTAGTGGTAGTGGTAGTGGTAGCTGAGCTGATGATAGATTTTGACATATGATTGCATCTTCTATTCTACTCTCCTCTCCTCCACCTCCACGATTTGTGCTTTAATGGGGTGCCCCCACATGTACAGTTATACGTGGGAGGGATGACGTGACACTGATAATCATATGTTATTTTTGTTTGAATCCTTCCTAACTTAAACCCTTCACTTAACTTTCTCCTTCTTCGGTTACATGTTATTTCCTCAATGTTAACCCATGCTGAATGCTGATCGGTTTGGTTTTTCTTTCTTGCCTTGGGGGACTCTGAATAATCTCGTGTTTGCCCTTCTAAAAAGTGTTCCAAGAATGAAAAATGGATTATAGGACTAGGGCCTTAGGGTGGGTAAAACAAGCTCGGATATTGGTCATGGTCCTCATACTTGGGTTGGGTCAGCCAGCCAGCCAGCCAGCCAGCCGAGGGCAACCGAGTTGACTGAGTCCAAGCCAATGGATTTGCTTGAGAGCTTCTGAGACTAGTGAGATAAGATTACATTGAAATTTGAAAGTCCATGTCCAGCTTTTGGGTCAAAGTATTCTATTCTCTTTTAGTAAGACTAGTAAGACCAATAACCTTCATAACTTAATCCCAGAAGTAATCATTTTACTTATTTGTTTTTATCTTTTAAAATAGACGAAAATGTCCTTATTTATTTTTGAATTTTTTAAAGAATCCTTTACATTTGCATGTCTTTGGTTTGAAAGTAAATGAGTTTTTCTGTATTTTTTAAAAAAATTTGACTTTTTTTAAAAGTGAAATTTCTTTTTATGACTAAAACCTAAATTTACTAAAAAAGTTACATTTACCCACTCACCGACCATGTGCAGCACCATTTGTTTTTTTTTTAGTACAAAAAAAAAAGGCGAATGCATCACACTTGCAATGATATAACAAAAAAGAAGAAAACGAATTCATTTTCTTTCTTCTTTTTCTTCCTTTTGGCCTGAAAGAAAGAAGAAGGAAAAAGAATTATTAAAGATAGGGTAAGGCAAACATTCCACGATGTAGGCAGTCAGAGCCAGCTCAGACCCCACTACTCACTCAAGACCTGGTTTCCTCGCTTTGGTCAAAAATGGACAAGGCAAGGGAAAAAGTAAAAATAATTCGAGACTGACACGTGCCTTTTCCATCCATTGCTGAACAACGAACATACTACTCAGGCGACCTGTAGTGGCCGGTAACTAGGCGAGCCCGCTGGCCCTTGTGTCTAATTTTGGCGGTGAATAAGCCGCAAAAGCCACAAGCCAGCCAACACCCATAAAGCTCTTGTTCATTATTCATTACATCCTTCGATATTCATAAGACAGGCCTAGCAAATCCTTAAAAATCTGGTAAGTTGTCTTCGCTTCTGTGTTTCTGTCTTTGGTTTTTGTTTTTCTTGCTTCCAAATTCCCGCATAAATTGAATTTTTGGATTTGTTTAGTAAAAAAAAAGCAATGAGAAGAGGAAATGAGTGTAGACTAGGGATTAATGCCATTGATTTGTAAGCTAGCTCTAGGCTCTAGCTGGTGGGTATTTGTTGTGTTCTTGGGGTTTGCTTTCAGTTTATTCGTAATATCAGTATAGAATGTGAGATAATCGGTTGCTAAAACCGCTGCTTCTTTTTTTGTTTCTTTTTCAACTTTTACGCAAAGCCTCTTCCTTTTCCTTTCACACAGATAGAATCATATGTTATATGTTCGTTGTTGATTTATAATATTTTACCTTTTAAGCTGAGTACTAAGTCTAATGTTTCGTATATTTGGCTTGGATCAATATTTTTTGCTTTTTTGCTCCTTTGCATATTCCGTTTTCCCAACTTTTGCACTGTCTTCAATTAAATGAACCGTCTTTTTTCAGGCCAATCAAAGAACCATGTTTAGTTTAGACCTTCTTTTTTTTTTAAGTTCTTAATGTTCTGTGGAATTGTTAGTGTGAACTATATTATATTACTGGGCTTTTCATTTATTGAGCTTTTGATCTTCTTCTTTCACAAGAGACCTCTATTCTGTTAAACGCCATGGAATATTTTCCGCCTTTTTGTAAATGTATGGTTCAACGTCCTCTGGGTGAATGCCGGACCTGTTTTAAGGTTGAGTAGTAGCACAAAAGTGCATAATATTATAGTATTTTGGTGGTATTTTCGCTCTTTGGCCATCAATTTGATTGAAAAGTTGAGAATACACCCTCGTGCATTTTCCCTTTTTAAACTTCTCTTGGTTATATATGTCGAGTTATGCGCAGTGGTTGGCCTGGTTTATAAGTTGGCACATCTCTGGAAAGGAACTATGGGAGATTCATTGGGTTTGCTAAAAGTTACAGTCGTGCAAGGGAAAAGACTGGTAATCCGGGATTTTAAGAGCAGCGATCCTTATGTTGTTATCAAATTGGGAAATCAGGTGAACTTGGTGTCCTTTGTTTTTTTTCTTTTTTTATAACTGTTTTTATAAAAATTTCATGGATATGCTTTTGATACCACACGCATGTGTGCAGAGACACATATCTTTTTCTGCACGCGCACACAGAGCAATCTGGCACTTCACTCTTAGCTGAAGTGGATTGCTTCTTCAGGGGATTTTGTGTAGCTGTCCTCATAAGCTTCCTTTCTAAGTCCATGTGTTTATGTTCTAGGGCGGATGAGTGATAATTCCCTCTTATCCCACATTGAATCGGATTTCGTACAAAAGATGTTAAATGAAAGGAAAGTTATGCAATCTCTCTTCAACGCTTATTGAAGCTAAATCAAAAGATTCTATTGGGACGATAACGAAACGGGCACCCCAGCTTTTTTAGTGTTCATTCCTTTTAACTGGAAAGGAGTTATTCTTTGTTAGAGAACCCTCCTAATACACCTTATGTACAGCTGTAGTCAGCTATGACCGCATTGGGAAGTTAGAAAATCTTCACATTCTCACATTCTTAATGAGAACCTTTCATATCTAACTCACTCTTTACTTTGCCAGAATAATCTATGACTTGATGTGTGATTCCTTCAGCTAGTTTAACAAGAGACCAAATTACTCAATTGATGGTACTAAGGAGTTTATACATCAGATATAAGCACATTTTTTACATACATACTTGCAGGTTGGATGTCTATATATCTGCTAAGAATGTAGTTGTTCTCAATTGCAAACGCTTCAGGGTATGCACAATTGGAATATCCTTTGTCTGTACTTCAAATTTCATGTATCAGGCATAGGTATATATTAATATCATTAAGCGTTTCTTTTAGGCATCTCTAAAACTGTTTGGAGTATCACACATTGTATGTGAATGAAATTGTTTTTACCACAATGGTAGTTTGAAGTGACTCATTAGTATAATCTGTAACAGGTGGCGAAAACCAAGGTTATCAACAGTTGCCTTAATCCCGTTTGGAATGAAGAGCTAAGCTTCTTCCTTAACGAACCTATTGGAGTTCTAAATTTGGTAAGTTAGGCATTTGAAATTCGAAGGTAGCCAATTCTTCTGATGAGGTTAATACATTATGTTGTGTTGTTTGGTAGAAGTCTGTGTTATGTGAATGTTAGACCAGTATTTTTCTTTAATTTGTACGAATGTAGTTCTTTCAATTCTGATTTTGTCAAGTTGCAAGCTGAAAACATGGCCCTGATAAAAGGGAATCAAGGATCCTATTTACTCTTTGGAAGCAAATAAACAAATTTAGATAAGTAACTTTGTAAGTTTGATTTGTTTTTATTTTTTTTCTTGGGGTTAGATTTTACAACGTTCTCTATTGTTCTGAAATGCACATTTCTGAGTAATTTGCTATAGATTGATTATGTAGTTGGTAAAGTTAACTTTGCAAAGGCTATTGAAATTACTAATATTTTAGGCTCGTATGACATGTGACGGAAGTTGTTTTTTCTGTAGGAAGTGTTTGATAAAGATTTTCTGAAGACAGATGATAAGATGGGACATGCTCACGTCAGCCTGCAGCCAATAGTCTCTGCTGCTAGATTGAGACAGATTTTACGAGTTTCTTCTGGCGAGACAACATTAAGGAAGGTTGTCCCAGATAGTGACAACTGCCTAGTTAGGGAAAGCTGCATTACTTGTGTAGATGGTGAGGTGGTGCAGAGTGTTTGGTTGAGGCTCTGCGACGTCGAGTCAGGGGAAATAGAATTGAAAATCAAGTTAACTGATGCATCCGATCCGGATGCAACCTCAGGGTAGTGCGGAATGGACTATTGGCTTTTAGTTGTAGACCTCTGACAATGAGGAGAGAAGAGTTGAATCTCTATAGTTTGGTCATGCATTAGCAAGAAGATTGGCAATGTGGTTTACGATAGATCTAGTATGAAGTTGTAATGGCCTAAGTAGGAAGTAGGAGGTTTGAATGTTTGGATGTATGTTGAAATTGAAATCCTGTGCATGTACTAATATAAATGTAAAATTGAACTTATGGATGATGGTGTGGTAAGCTTAAATTATGTTGTGTTCAGTGGCAGCCAAAAACTGCCTTGCTGCCTGCAATCCAATTCTTCTTTAATTTTGCAGAAACTCAAGGTTTTGCTTACCGCCACACACACACACACGCACACACACACAATTGCCACTGGATATTTTCTCACGTCAACTGAAACGAAAGAGCTAAGAGAAAGCATGTTGTAAAATCAGCAATAGAGCCAATGGCTAATGCATGCTTCATGTTGTTTTATGACTATGAATCAATTGCTGGTTCACAGTCCTCTCCTCAAAGTTCAAACACAGCACTGTTTCTTTTTTTATATATAAAAAAGTGAGAGTTAAAATACTTTATTTTACCGAAAATGAGAATCAAATGTAATGGGGCGGACATCCTATCTTAACCAACTGGTCTAAGCAAAGGTATAATTACATCCTGTGAGATCCAACCCAATATTTTTGAAGACCCAACCCAATAAGTCGAATAGGTTGAATAAACACAAAGACATGGCTGGCTGATGGCCCCTTTTGTAACTTTTATCGACGCCCATCGGGCTTTTGAAGACCCAACTCAACTCAAGTAAGTAGCGAATATATGAAGTACAGGGATGTCGTATTATTAATCCTACCGACGAAAAACAAAGGCAAAGGGATGTCGTATTATGATTGGATTGGCGCCTAAATCGTAGTCGACGATGAGTTTGAGGAAGTTGAAGGGGGTGGTGGCTGTGACGGTGGGTGGTGAAGCGACGAACCCAAGCCCTAATAATGAGAGTGAGAATAAGGCGAAAAGACAGACGGTAGTTCTGGGCAATGGAAGCGAAGTTGTGTTCATTCCAAGGTTCGTTAGCTTCGATCAGGCTTGGACATGGTTCGATTACCTCCACACCCATATCCCCTGGACCAGACCCACCATTCGCGTCTTCGGCCGTTCCTGCCTCCAGGTCTCTCTCTCTCCCCCCCCCTCTGATGTAATTTCTGTACAAATCTGCCATTTTTTCTATCAATTATTACTATTTGGGTTTTCTGAATTGTTCACTTCCTGTTGCAAAATATTGGTAATTCTGTAAGAAATGAGTAATATTCTTTGGAGCTTGGTGTTAACTACTGTTTATGATTCTACATGCCTTAAATTGAGGATTGATTGGAACCCAACCCAACTAAACTAGTATTATTTATGGGTGGGTATTTTGCAGCCTAGAGATACATGTTATGTAGCAAGCCCAGGACTTCCTCAATTGGTTTACAGCGGCTACCAGCCTCATGCCTATTCATGGGATGATCATCCACCACTTAAGCAAATCTTGGAGGCGGTAATAAGACTATTCTGCTTTAGTATTCATTTTCCATCATCCTTGCTCTAAACTCGTACTATGGTGCCGTGGCTCATTATGTCTTCCTTGTTAGGTCCATAAAGCTCTTCCTGGCAGCAGTTTTAATAGCTTGATCATAAATAGGTATAAAGGTGGTAATGACTATGTTGGTTGGCATTCTGATGATGAGAAGCTTTATGGATCAACTCCTGAAATCGCGTCCTTATCCCTTGGATGCGAACGTGAGTTCTTCTTGAAGAAGAAACCCAGTAAAACATGCCAAGGTATGATTCAATCAACCGTTTCCTCCATTTATTATGGTTTATCCTTTGTTGTGCATGTACAGTGGACAGTTAACCGGATGGACACATAGTTACAACATTATAATTTGCAGCAGGTTTCCATCTGCACGACTAGAAGCCCAGGACCCATTTAGAACATCTCTCACTACCACCAAAAAAAAAAATTTATGTCAAAACATAAAACAACAATTGAACTTGCGTTGGTATAATTGTCTTTTGGTGTGAATGCCAGAAAGCAGAGATGATCAAGAACCTAAAAGTAAGCGATTAAAGAGGAACCATGCTGATCAGCACTCGTTCACACTTAAGCATGGATCGCTATTGGTGATGAGAGGTTACACTCAAAGGGATTGGATGCATTCGGTGCCTAAGCGGACAAAAGTAGAGGCAACTCGTATCAACCTCACATTCAGGTATGTGTCTGATGGGTTCTAGGATTAGAAATTGAGAAGAGAATGATTGCTCATCGTGTTCTTTTGTGTATTGTCTGCAGATGGGTTCTTGAAGACCCTGGTGCGATGAGTTAACTTGACACTGGTACTTTGTCCTAGAGGAGTAATGTATAGCTTTGTCGATTAGTTAAGAAGATTTTGGATGTCTGTATCCGTCTGCTATGTCACGTACTTAATTTGGGTAACATGTTTTACAATTTAGTGTTTTTTTGTGTCTGTTTTGTTGCTTGGCTAGTATAGTAAGCTTTTTGTCCCTCCGTCTTCAAGTAAAATGAGTGCCATAAACCTTGTTTCCTGATGTTAGCAAGCATAGCCTCGTCCATAATCCGTACTGAGCAGCCAGTGCTAGATTAATACGGAAGAGCCCTAACTTTTGAGTTTCAGCAATCTTGTAATGTCACCACAGGCTCTTCTTAACTGATTGGTGAGTCTTAAGCAAGTAGCATCGACTTCCCGAAGCCTTGGACTTGGACTCCCATTGTGCAGTTGGTGTGTTAACCCTTGCCATGAACATATATGGCAACGGCAGCACCCAACCATTTTGTTGAGCCTTGTTAACTGATTGGTGAGGTGACTTTGGACTTGAAATGTTAATTTTAAAATTAATGTTAGCAAATTGAACTATGAGGAGCGAACGAACAGTAAGTAATTGAGGACCAAACTAGTTTAGTTTATGATAAACAAGTCATAAGAGGCCAAGGGCAGAGCAGCCGCGTTGTTGCGGTTCCGGCGTAAAATGATAAAGTTGGATGCTGATATAATTCAGATGCATCAAAGCAGGCAGGCAGGCGATAAAATTAAATGATGATGCAATGATGGCGCCAAAATTGCCAACGTAAACCAGAAAAAAGAAAATAAATAAATAAATAAATCCTCAGCGCTGTCGATCCATGATAAGGATAACAATAACATGTCTTTGCTCATTCATCAATTAAAATAGAATAAACGCTCTCAAAAACTTCATCCGAATTTCATTCCTTCTTTCTTCTTCCTTTGAGCCTTCCTTTCCTTGACCGACGACGTTAAGACGTGCAGCAAGCAGCTCTGTTTGTTTGCTATCAAAATCCACACACAAAGAACCGAGATCCATCTTTCCATCCCTCTCTCTCTCTCTCTCTCTCTCTCTCTCTCTCTCATGATGTCTCCATCTTCTTCTGATTCTATTAAACCTCGAGGTAAACAAACACACTCCTTCAATTAAGTGCTTCATTTCTTGTTTAATTTCTGCTTCAATATTTTTGTTTCGATTTTTGGCGTCTTGTCTTGTTCAGATGTTTGCATAGTGGGAGTCGCACGTACGCCCATGGGAGGATTCCTTGGTTCCCTCTCATCTGTCTCAGCAACCCAACTTGGCTCTCTTGCTATTCGATGTATGAAACAACTTCTCTCTATCTATTCTTCATAATTAATTACCCTCTGCAGCTCTGCTTTCTCTTCTCTGATGGATGGCTGTGAATATAATAATGTGATTGATTCGAATGAAATGGTTATCTTGTCTATAATAATTACAAAAAATATATAAAATGTTAGGCGCTCTTAAGAGAGCAAATTTGGATCCATCCCTTGTACAAGAGGTCTTCTTTGGGAATGTTCTAAGCGCCAATTTAGGCCAAGCTCCTGCAAGACAGGCTGCTTTGGGTGCAGGCATACCCAACTCCGTCATTTGCACTACTATCAACAAAGTCTGTTCTTCTGGCTTGAAAGGTCGCTCCCCCTCTCTCTCTCTCTCTCTCCCTCTTATATTCAACTTCTCTGATCTTTATTACTGTCACACTGATATTCACTGATCAGTGCTGGAAATATTCTCTCTATTCTTTAATCAGCCACAATGCTAGCTGCACAAACCATCCAGCTGGGTCTCAACCATATCGTTGTGGCTGGTGGCATGGAAAGCATGTCCAATGCACCTAAGTATCTACCTGCTGCCAGGTTAAGCCTTTTTCCCCTTTCTTTTTATGCTTCTTTCTTTGTAATCCCATACTTTGAACAGCGATTCTTCTAGTGACAAATGACAGGTCTGTTTGTATAAATCGTAATCAGGGGATTTTCCCACTGACTCAACTCAAGTATGTAACAGTTCATCAAAATTGCAGGCTTTCTTGCTAAAATAGCTGCCACTTGAAGAATCTAACTTGCGCTTATGTTGGCCATTCAATGTGCTTTCTAAGCTTCATTTATACACACACGAGTTCTCTTTTGGCTTGTTCGGAAAAATGTCTAATTTGTAAACAGACAGGGATCTCGATTAGGACATGATACTATTGTCGACGGCATGCTTAAAGATGGTCTTTGGGATGTCTATAATAACTTTGGAATGGGAGTTTGTGCTGAAATGTGTGCTGATCAACATTCCATTTCAAGGGAAGAGCAGGTAATATTTCTCTAGAGATTGCTTTGCTCTAAAATATACACCCCCTTTGCATATTATGTTTAACTGTTGTTTCTAGTGACCTCTAACATTGGGCTATATCAATGTTTACTTGCAGGATTCTTATGCTATTCGAAGTTTTGAGCGTGGAATTTCTGTGCAAGATGCTCGTCTCTTTGCATGGGAAATTGTTCCGGTATGATTTAGTTCTGTGCTGAACAGCAGAAACGTTTCAGCTTGTTAAAAAATATCTATGTTCATTATCAATCTCCTGCTGTAGGTTGAACTTCCTGGGGGACGAGGAAAGCCTTCTTCAACTGTTGACAAGGATGACGGTTTAAAAACAGTAAGTACAATAGAGAAGACATGGGATGAACTTATATAGAATATATTTCTTTCAAAGCAGTAATAGGAAGTTTTAGTTTTCAGATCAGAATTCTGTCGAGCTTTAAGTGATCAAAAAATATTACCTATATATGGGTTTGAACAATTTTGACCAGTATCATAAATTTATAGACAAGAAAAGTGAGGGTTTTGGATTGGTTGCACTTCCAATCTCAAGTTGGAAGAAGTCACAGCTCTACCTCATGTAACCACTATGTTTCTCCTCCTCCTTTACCCTAACTTTTGAACTTCAATGTCATGATTTTGGAGGTTTAGGAAAAAAAAATTCTTTGTATGTTCTGCTTACAACTGTCCTTGCTAGTTTGATGCGGCAAAATTAAGGAAGCTTCGACCAAGTTTTAAGAAGAATGGGGGTACTGTTACTGCTGGGAATGCTTCTCTGATAAGGTGCTCTCTCTCTCTCCCTCTCTCTGTAATTTCTTCTAATATTGGTGCAAATGTCATATCTTCAATGCATTATGGGCTGTGCTTTTCTATTGGGCAGTGATGGTGCAGCTGCATTAGTGCTAGTGAGCGGGGAGAAGGCACTTCAACTTGGGTTACAAGTAATTGCTAAGATTAAGGGATTTTCTGATGCAGCTCAGGTAGTGAAATGACATTCTCGTTTATCTTGGTTTGCTGGACTTCAGATTGTGTTAATACTAAACCAATATTTTCTGGACAGGCACCTGAGTTATTTACAACTGCTCCAGCCCTTGCAATACCAAAGGCTGTTTCAAATGCTGGTTTGGAAGCTTCTCAAATTGATTACTATGAAATAAATGAAGCATTTTCTGTAAGAATTCATGCTTTTTATATGATATAACTTGGCTCTGATTCATTAAGCATTAACTGCATAAACGTGTTTTAATCTCGGCAGGTGGTCGCTCTTGCCAACCAAAAGCTGCTTGGCCTTAATCCTGTGAGTCTTCATGGAAAATTATTTAAATCGAAATTGATGTAAAGCAGATCAATTTAGTTGTTCTTTCACTTTACATTTTTGCTGTGCGTCCTTTTGCCCTAGTATCTGCAGCAGCTTCACTTTCTTTTCCAATTTGCCTTTCTTATGAATTCAGGAGAAAGTTAATGTCCATGGTGGAGCTGTATCTTTGGGACACCCGTTAGGATGCAGTGGAGCTCGTATCTTGGTCACTTTATTAGGGGTAAATCATTGCTTTTTTCTGTCTATAATTTTTGTGCTTGATGATTTGAAAATTGCTGCTAGCTGTCCATCTCTCTTCTGTGGTAAAACTATTGGGGAGATGGGGCCTTTTTTTGTAAGAAATGGAAGCTGCATCTAGATTATTTGCTTCTTCCATATATTTGTTTTTTTTTTTTGGTCAAATAGATTTGTTAATTTCTGGTGTGCCTGAATTGAAAGTAATGTTCTTGCAGGTACTGAGACATAAAAAGGGGAGATATGGGGTTGGTGCCATATGTAATGGAGGAGGGGGAGCATCTGCCCTTGTTCTCGAGCTCATGTAAGACTTTTCAATTTGTTCAGGCATATGCATGATTTTGATATTTACCTCTGAGTTCTTAACTTCAACAAGTCACTAAAGAAGTTTGCATCTTGCAGGCCAATTACAAGGGTGGCGCGTTCTTCGTTGTGATAATATAGTGTCACATCATCATAATGTTGTAGAATTTGGCATCTATTGTTTGAACTTTCTTCCTCAATAAGGAGGTCTGTATCAGATGTTATTTAGAAAATATATGCTCTGTTTTGTTTTTTATTTTTGGTTCGGGTTGTCACGCTTTCGGTGTTATTTGATGTCCCCTGACCACCCCCCATCACCCAATGTTGCTGTAATACGGACTCATCTAGTATGGAGTGTGCCAAATGGACAATTGTTTTGGGGTGCGGAGAACAATTCATATGCACTACTGTACTCTCCATTTGTACAAGAAAGTTGAGTTGTTGACTTGCTGGAAATCAGATGACAATGCCTGGGATGGGAAGTAAATGTGGTTTCCTATTCTATTCCTTTCTGAATCAATGAACATCCATCTGAATTGTAGAGTGCATGCCAACCCAAACATTAATATTATTACTTACTGGCTAATAATAAGATGAAGCAGATTCCCTTCCCACCAAAATTGAAATTTGAAACTGCATTTAAACAATCTGAATGGGATGAAACGCAAGCCCCCCTTGAATTGAAGGACTTCGTTTTAGAAATATAAAGGACAAAATGGGAGAGAGAGAGAGAAATTGTAAATTATTACTAGCACAACCAAGTGATGTTGAGGAGAGAAACTCAAAGATAACTTTTTTTTTGGAGTGTCGGCAAATGTTGTACGTTCTTTATTGAAGGATGGATTGTTGATATGTTATATGTTGTCGATATTTAATAATATAAGGTATCAACTTATTACAGGGGCGGTTCTGTGCACAGGGTAGGTTGGGTGTTCGCCTAGCCCAAATTTAAGAAGAAAAAAAAAACCTACATATGTTATAAGCTTAGTCCAAAAAAAATTTTAAAAAAAATTAAAAGCAAACCCTACATCATATCTTCTCTGCCCATCCAGGTGGTCTTATATCTTCTCTCTCCTTCTCTTTGGGCTATGCGACATCAGCTTGTTTCTCTATCTCTTAGCTACTCGACATTAGCATCTTCTTTCTCCTTCCAGTTTCTATATATCTTTAATTATAGTTTTAATTTAAAATTGAGTATTCTAGGGTGTAATTAGGGATGAAAGAGAGTTTTCTAATAATATTGGTAATGCATTGATAATTGAAGAATTTAAGAGTTCTAAGCATCGATAGTTATATTTTATTTTGCTTTGCATTTACTTTTGGTTTTAGTTTTAGTTTTTGTATTTGTGGAATTTTTTTTAGTGGATAAAGTTGCATTTGAGGGTAAGGCTCATTATATCCTCCTTAAGTAGGTGTATCTTTTTATGTTTATTAATGAAATTCATTCGTATAGGTGTATCTTTTTATGTTTATTAATGAAATTCATTCGTACCGTTGAGTTTAATATATAAAGTTTCGCCCAATTGACTTTCAAATTCTAAAACCGTCACTGACCTATTATCGATAATATTGATACAAAATTCACATTGTGCACAAAGAATTTCTAATATGTTATATAAAAAATCAATCGCAAGAAATTTCCATAACATTCTTAATTTTATCAAACTATCGTCTAAGAGGGGAGAGAAAACAGAGTGAAGAGAGATGAAACTAACTAAACCACGATCGGTCTGCTTCTTATAGAGGTGGGAATAAGAGGAACAGAAGGCGGGCAGGCAGGCACCGTGATGGCTGGTCAGCGGTCTAAATATCTCCCGGGCAGGCAGGCACCGTGATGGCTGGTCAGCATGTAGAGAAAAAAAATCTCCAATTCGATTTTTGGGATAGAGATGGCGAGAAATGCAATAGTCAAGGCCAATTCTGTCTATTCCGAATTCTAAGCGGTTGGCATTTACCGTTACCTAGCGCATACTTCTCTCTGCTTCCCGCTAAAATAGGACAAGTAAAATCATGTACAGGGCAAAAACTTGAATGAACCTCATCTTTTGGGCCTGTTCTTGTTTGCAACGGACCCGGAGCTTCAATCACAGAAATTCAGAATTCAGAATTTTGAGACCCAGACCACCACCACCACCACCATCACATTCTAACTTTGTTTCTTCAGAAAGTTCCTTTTAATTTCTTAATTCGTGAATTGGCTGCCTGGTTTTCTCAGAGTCTTTTTCTGATGATCCTTCACCTCTGACTCGACAATAACTTCGTCTTTTATTCTTTGCGGTGGTACATACGTACGTGCTTTCACGTTTTCAATGGTTTCGTTAATCTCTCTCTCTCTCTCTCTCTCTCTCTCTCTCTCTCATCTGTTTGATTTAATGAATAGCTTTCTCATAAATTAAAAACATCTGTTTAATTCTCTACATGCTATTCTGTATATTGCAATGCATAGATAGCTGGTACATAAAAAAGATGCACATAATATATATAATATAAATATACACACCTTGTTTGTTGGCATCCACTCCCACCTTTGGTTGGTTGAATTTGGTTCAATTATTTTGATATATTAGATTGAATTGGTGAATGCTAATTGATGTTGTGACACTGTCATGCATGCATGTTTGCAGAAGAGAAATCAAAATGGCGAATATCCGTGTAAAGGATCAGCAAAAGGGTTCGGGTTCGGGTTCTCCGAGGGCAGAGGTGGGAGAGGTTGACACCAGGGCTCCATTCCAATCTGTCAAAGCTGCTGTTAGTTTGTTTGGTGAGGTCGTTTCTAGAGGGGGAAAAACCGCCAGTTCCCCTGCCAATGCCAATTCCCCTGCCAATGCCACTCCAGTCAAGAGAAAACTTTCTTCAGAGGTAACTCGGTGCATTCAAACTCAAATAATCCCTTCAATTCATATATTTATTTTCCTCCTTTCATCCCATAGGCCATGTTAACTTATTTCCATCTCTAGCTACCCTTCAGACTTGAGGGAGGCTAGCTAGCTGTTTGGTAATGTGATGATGGTCATAATTTAAACAAACTCACAGTTAATTAAGAATGAATCTGCTCATTAATTCCTTGTTTGTCAGAATAATGCACTGGACAAGGAGACACAGCTTCTGTTGGCCCAGAAAGAACTAAACAAGATCAAGCAACAACTAGAGAGTGCGCAAACTACAAAAGCTCGAGCACACAATGAGCTTGAAAAGGCTAAGAGAACTCTGCAGGATCTCAACACCAAGCTCAAAACTGTAAGCGACTCCAAGCAATTAGCCATCAAAGATGCAGAACAAGTCAAGATTCAGGCTAAGAAACTGGAAGAGGTCAAATCCAGAGAACCCATTGAAGGTGGAGCTTGGAAACGCGAATTGGACCACGCTAGAAAGGAGTACACAGCCACTGTGACCGAACTCGATGCTACAAAGCAAGAGCTCACCAAAATCCGACAGGACTTTGATGCCGCCTTGGAAGCAAAACTGGCTGCATTCCAACAGGCAGCAGAAGCTCAACGTTCCGCAAACGTTAACTCAGACAGGGTTAATGAGCTCTCAAAGGAAGTTGCAGCCATGCAGGGATCAATCGAACAGCTAAAACTTGCCTCCCAACAGGCCCAACAAGAGCAGGCAAACGCTGTGGCTGAAAAACAGGCCCACCTCCGATCTTACAATACTGCTAAGCAACAAATAGAAGAGAAATTACTATCTTTGAAGCTAGAAGTTGATCCTGAACTGACCGAAAGTCTAGAGGCTAAGCTTGAGGAAACAACTTTAGAGATTGAAGTTTTACAAGAAGAAATGAAAAAAGCCCACGCTTGTGAAATGGACTCCATGAGAGTGATAACTGTGGAGCTGAATGAAGCCACAAAGACGCTGCAGGAAGTTGCTGACGAAGAAAGTTCTCTTCGAAGCTTAGTGAACTCCCTCAGACTGGATTTGGAGGATGTGAAGAGGGAGCAAACTGAACTGAAGGATAAAGAAATGGAAATGGAATCTCTTGCTGCTAAACTAACTGCTCAAATACAGAAAACCAAGGAAGAGGCAGAGGCACAGCTTAAGTCACCTCCTAGTCATCATGAGTATGATCACAGTTCAACTGCCCATAAGCTTTCATCTGAAACTGAAAGCGCGAGGCTGGAAGCAGAAGAGATGAAGAAAAATGCTCATCAACAGAAGCGAGAAGCCGAAGATACCCGGGTTGTAGCAGAGGAAGCAGAGAAGAAGCTGAAAATCGCCCTGGAAGAAGCTAAAGATGCCAAAGAAGCAGAAAAGAGAGCGCTTGATGAGCTCAAGCTCTTATCCGGGGGGACACAGGAAGCAGGTACTTGTTCAAATTCAGAGACCAGTGGCGGCAAGATCAAACTATCATCGGAGGGGTATGAATCTTTGACAACGAAAGTCGAGGAATGTAGAAAATTGGCTGAGCAGAAAGAGGCAGAGAGCATGAACCAAGTAGAAGCATTCAATGTGAGAAAAAGGGAAGTAGATAAAAAGTTGGAGGCCAATTTAAAAGCGATAGAGGAAATCAAGACTGCGACAGACATGGCATTGAGCAAAGCAGATATGGCAGAGTCAGCAAAATCAGCGGTGGAGGGTGAACTTCGCAAGCGGCGTCAAGAAGAACAAACAGTGGCAGGTGAGTCATCAGGGTCATTCTCCATTCAGTTCTAACTTGTAGGAGGATGCAAGAGCAGATCATTGAGAGAGAAACACCAAGTTCTCTTTCTCTTTCTGTTTCACAAGTGCCTAAGCTTGGAGAATTGATCTTGCAATGAAAAGATGATAAGGTATCTCCTCTCCCCATCTGCCTTCCGTAGTATCCCATTTTTGGTGTATTCAGGAAAACTTATTTATTAAGAGTCTCAGTGGTTCAGAAACAGGGAAACATGTAAATCGCTTGTTATCTCATCTCAATACTCAAAAGAATACTTTCTTCTCTTATTGGCTCTACAGAAACTGACATGTTTTACCTCCATGATTTATAATTGTCAGTCAAAAAAACATATTTAGAAATCGCTGAAGGTGAAAATAGGTTAATCTGTGCAACTAGTATATGATTTCGAACTGTGCAACTAAAGATGACATGACAATTTTCTGCTGCACTACAACGCACATCAGGCTACGCACGGCACAGGTCTGAAATGAGTATCCAGCAGCCATATGTCATATTACATACACTGTATTAGCTATATCCCTTGTGAAGTTCACGTAGATAATGCGAGCAACTACCATTACAACCAATCATATCGTATGATTGCAACGGTAGGACCAGTAACGCAAAGATTCCTTGTCCCGCAGCTTTAGACTGAGCACAAAGGCTTAAGATTCATCACTGCAAGTCTGCAAGGCACCAAGCTCTGTGGTTTCAGTCACAATTGATTTTGAGGTCATCTAGAGAGTCAGAGAGCCCATTCCCATTACCAAACTTGTTAAACTCAGATTCTATCGTTTTAGCAATCTGTGTTCCTTCTGCAGCTGGCTCAGGTACATCCACATGAAAAGAACCCTGCTTCATTGGGTGAACAGGTTCCTTGATCAAAGATTGCTGCTTGATGTAGTTGTAGAGCTGTTGATGAAAGCCGAACCTTCTCTTTTACAAAAATGTGGAAGAGATCCATAATCCATTATCTACACAAACATCAAATCCAACTACAAGATTAGTCCATTTGAATTTTGACGCTGCCAAATGAAATTACTAAAGATATCAAAATCAACTTATTCAAAGATGATTTTGAGAAATATGACAAGAGCTCATAAACATTCAAGTTCTCAAGACTTCAAGCATTATAGGGAAAACATCTTACCTTCAACAGTTCATCCCTACCACAACCAGACAACACCTGCACTTTTTTCCTTGTCCGCTCCTGCAAAAGGGGCTTGACAACCTGCTAACAGTCCAAGAATTATACAACTGCCATTCCAAAAGGGCATCTAAAAGATATAAAGTTTTAGAAGAACATGAGCACCATACTCCCTATGGCTTAAAGATCAATAATGATCATGCAATAAACAAAGTGGGGACGAACCCAGTTATACAAGACACAACAGATTACATGATATCACAAAGAACACAATGTGAAGACTAACCTTCCAACAAGCTGAGAATATATATGGGGCATTTACAATGTAGTATGTATTTGTCTTCTCCGGGTAGTTCAAATCATCAATTGTTGATATAATTGTCAATAACTGCACAGGCATAAAACATACAAGGTAGTGAATGCTACACGGTTTACATTGTAGAACTCATTTAGATACATACAAAGTAGAATCTTCACGCTTATAATCAACCTAATTTAAGTTGGTTATAAAATTTAATTAAGGAACATTGGACAAACCTAAATAGATTTATCAGCTGTACTTATGATAGGAAAGAACAAGATAGTCTAAACTGTAATGAAAACAAATAAACAAATAAACTTCTGGTTATATTGTACCTTAATTTGGCTTAGTGCTGAGAGCTTCAAACCAGTCATATCTAAAACCTTCACGCAGGTGGTAATAGGCTTACCATACTTCCTCGATGCAGAGGGCTACAACCGGACACACAGGTCAGAAAAATGACTTGTGAAAGCTTAGAGATTCAAGATCCCATACTCACCAAAATTATACGATCTCGATATTCATTAATTTGAATGTGTGACTGCACATAGTAGTGAACCTGCAATGGAAAATAATAAAAAATTACTCAAAGATTGTAAGGACTCAAGGACCTTCAGCATCAAGATAAAGAGGCAGAAGTAGATGATTCAAATTCAATCATTGTTGTCAATTATAAGACAAGATGGTCTTTCATTTAAATCTAGAACTTACAGATGCTTTGTCAAATGTACTTAGCCCAACACCAATGGCAAAGACTGGCAAACCCTGAAGAGAAACGAAGAATGAGTTAAACATGTTACAGCACACAAATTTCAACCCAAAAAAAAATAATAATAATCACTGGTAGAAGAGACATTATTATCAAAGGTTCAATTCCCATGGAGCAAAAGATTGCAGGATTGAAATCGTCAACACTGTCATGGTCTTGAAAAGAAAATGTAAACACCAAAAACAGATAAAAGTTTTAAGTTAGGATGAGCACCTCTCTTGAGTAACCCGAAAGACCTATGAGCTGTGAATCTCGTACTGACCGGTATAATTCAGTTGGAACAATCGGTTTCTGCATGGAGGAAGACTCCAAAAATGTCAGCATCTGGAGACCAGCACATGTATAAATAAGATTGGTAATTTTTCAATCACTGAAAAACACCAAAATGTTAGGCAAGTACAGGAATAGGATAAACTTACGGCCAATATATTGTCAATCTCATTTTGTACCCTCCAATTTAAACAATCTACCAACTGGAACATAAAAAAGATATCATTTCAGCAATTAAAAATATAAAAAAAGAAGTGAGCTGACAATGGATAGGATTTCATTAGATTAAATTGTGAAGCTAAAGAGCTGCATGTTACCATTTTATGGGCTTTGGCGACATTCCACTCTCTTGCTTTGAGAAAACGGCCGAAAGTCTCAAGAGGATATCCTTGATGAACATTCTATATAAACCAGGAAACAATTTTTATGATAAATCCAAAATTCGAAAAACATGGGGAAAATATATTATAGAAGGGAAAGCATGAGTATGATCCCGAAAGATCCAGTAGAGCTCAAAATTCAAATCAAGCATTTGATGGGCAGGTCAATTGCCATGAAATAGCAAGAGAAGAAATGATAAAGACAATGTCCATGATGTGGAACCAAATAGCAGCCGCCTAGTTGGTGTTATTAATATCAATGAATTATATTTGTGAGTTTTGGGGAGTTGAATTGGAATCTTGAGTCCTAGTGTTGCTAAGGAAAAGAGGGGTCTACTTAAACTGGAAACTGCAGTAAACATGCTTTGAGCCTTGGCCCTTTGGGGATGGCAGCAAATGTCAATTTGGCAATCACCCAGAAAAGATTAAGCAAAACACAAGCCATTAGCAACCCACAAAAAAAGTTTAAATAAGAGAAGTCAATTAAAAAAAAGGAAGTAATAAATTGGAGAAAGAAAGTAAGTAGCATTAGCATAGCAGAAGAATTGTAAGTTTGATTTTGAGCTGAGAAGAGATCGGAGAGACGAAAGTAGGAAGGTAATAGAAAATGCGAACCTGAAATGTTCTCTTGAGTGGCTCATCAACTGCCATTACTCAAAAATCCAGCAAACAACAGAGCAACAAAATGAGAAACAGTAAAAAAAAAAAAGAAAAAAAAAAGGAAGAAAGAGAGAGGGAAAGCTGAGAAAGCTGACCTTGATCCATCAAAGCTTGGAACTGCTTAATCGCTTCCTGAGAAACGATCCCCATTTCTCTTAAATTTCGCTCTGTGTCCGTCTCTGAATCTGTTTTTGGGTTGCTGAGCAAAAAAATTTAAATAAAAACTAAAAATGAGAATGAGAGAAGGCAGAGGTCGTCCTGCTAATACTAATTTATATTAATTAAAGCAAGCAATTCAAAAGAAAAGCGTATTAATTTACTAGGAAAGTAATAAAGAAGGAGGAGGAAGAGGAGGAGGAGGAGGAGGAGGACCCTTTGTTCCAGTTTTATTTAGCTTCTCTTTTTTCACTCTTATTTTATTTTACTGCAACAGAAGACCAACCAACGATTTGTAATTTGTTATTGTTAAACTTTAATGAGATAGATTTATTAGGGAAAAGACAAACACTCGTGTCAGGCCCAGTACTCAGGAGGAGGAGGAGAAAGACTTTTTATTTTGGGTCAACAATGTCGTGAGAGAGAGAGAGAGAGAGATTCAACAAAGGCGGGCCTACGTGCCCAGCCCTTTATTCCCCAACCCCTCAGAAATTACCCAGTCTTCTCTCTTTTATATACTCACTAATTAATCTGTTACGTTCGGATACTTTATAAAAATAAAAATAAAATCTTTCATGAGTTTTGCTAATTTCAATTTTATTTTTTTTCCTTCACTCCTTCCAGCCAGCCATCTACCCCAAATACAAAACATTGGGTCCCACATTGCTAGATCTATCTGTTGCCGTCGGATACGACTTGCTTGGTTTCTTCATTTCAGATGGAGGATGGGATCCCGAATCTGATGGATATGCTTACTTTGTTAACTTATTGTGAGAGATTGTGAGACTGGAGGAATGCACGGTCCAAAAATAGGAGGACGGCAAAGGCAAAGGCAAAGCTAAGCCAATGCAAATGCGACGCGGCACTTAATTTGTGCCAAACAGCTGCTGAAACTGAAAGATTCCAATCTGATCTTGATCTGATGCGCCAATGCCAAATTGCCGATTGTGGTCTCCCTCCAAGGACCCTCCATACCTCACAATTCTGCCACGTTTAATGCCTTCCTTCTTCTTCTTTCTCTTTTCCTTTTTTTTTTATTTATTTTTTATTCAACTGGGGAGTGATGAAAGAGGACTACTCTTGTTTTGGGTTACTTTTAAGTAAATTTAGATTTTACCTATAAAAAAATTCTCACTTTTAAGTAAATGTATCATTTTCTTCTTCTTGTTTGTTGTTGTTGAGGAAGGAAGCTTCCTAGAAGTTACACTCCAGATATTAGTAAGCATTACGTTCGTCTTGTGATGGAACAAGAAAATCAAAGTTTGTCATTCATGTCACTGTCGCCTAAAATTCAATGTAAATGTACAAACTGTAATTTGTAATGAGAGACTTGACTTGTCAATGCCAAGTTTGAATTGATTGTAATCATAGCATCCTTTCAATATTAATAATGAGGTCCTGTTCCTGTATGTATGTATGCATGTATATATAGCGAGCCTTGTTAATATATGTGATAAGCGGCCGCGATTCCTTCTGAATTATACGAATATACCCTATACATGCGCGTTTCGTATGCAAAGTGAACCGGTCAAACTAAAGCATCTGTCAGTATATCAGAATTCAAACATTTATATATATATATATATATGTACAGTGGTTGTGCAGCAAGCACCACCACAAATTAATTAAGAGATATTGTAGAGCGCTGCGCAGGTAGGAAGAAAAAAAAAAGACAAGAGCAGCAGTTGGGTGAAAAGTGAAAATGTCGGAAGATGATAATCAAATTAAGAGGATTAGTAGTCATGATGATGATGAGTATTACTACCGTAGCAGCAGCTGCAACATATCATCATGCGAGATCGAGGAGGATGATGAGGAGGAGGTTGGTTCAAGTTCAAGTTCAAGCAGCAGATCATCATCAAGAAGATCAACCCAGGCCGATGATATCCCAAGGGAGATCGAAGAGCTTTTTGGGAACAAACGATACCTACCCATGCCATCCATCAAGGAGGATTATATAGATAATCAACATGATCATAGAAGCAGCAACAGCGTTTATGTGGCAGTCGGTAAAAGCGAGTCAAGCATGGAGGCGCTGACCTGGACATTAAAGCACGCTGCTGACCCCTCATCCACCACCGTCTATCTCATTCATGTTTTCCCGGAGATCCACTTCATTCCGAGTCCATGTAAGTACCAAGTACGTACGTATATGATATATCATATGCATTTGTGTCTGTGTCTGTATGTATAATGTATGTGTGATCTGTTGTGTTGGCCAATTGGATATATTTGTAGTGGGAAAGCTTCCAAAGAGTCAAGTGAGTTCACAGCAGGTGGAAACTTACATGGCCCAAGAAACAGGCAAGAGGAGAGAGCTCCTTCACAAGTTCCTTGACAAATGCTCCGCTGCAAATGTTAAGGTTGATACTATGCTGATTGAAAGTGATATGATCGCACGGGCTATTCTAGACCTTATCCCTATTCTCAACATAACAACGCTAGTACTTGGAACTACCAAATCCAATCTAAGGTAATTAATAATATATGCATGCAGGTGCAGCCAGCCATGCACCAAATTCATTACTTCATTTATATTTACTTGGTCTCTTGTGATTCGTGATTCGTCAATGAACTCCATTATCTTCTGGAATAGGAAATTGATGTCTGGGAAAGGAAACGGGATAGCTGCTCAGATACTTCAAGCTGCACCGGATGGCTGTGAGATCAAGATCATCTGCCAAGGGAACCAAGTCATGATGGACCAGGCGATTCACTCCCTTTCCCCACGTCTCAACGATGATCCCACTACGACCAAGTCTATGCAACACCAACAACCGAGCAATAATAATGAAGCCTTTTCATGCATCTGCTTCAAACCCAAGTTCTCTTCCTCCTCCTAAGCAAGGAGCATGGGTTATATACTTAGTTACTGCTATTACTACCAACAGCAGCGGGGATAGCTCAGTTGGGAGAGCGTCAGACTGAAGATCTGAAGGTCGCGTGTTCGATCCACGCTCACCGCATTTTTAAAGCTCCTTTTGTTTTCTTTCAAAAGAGAAAGAACTTTGGATGCATCGTATTCCAATCCAAGTTAACTTTCTTTCTAAATTTCAAACATCCGATGCCCGCATTGTATTAAAAGAACTTTGCCTTTCCATATTAGCGGCGGCAAATCCTCTTTCCAAGTTCATTTGCACATTCCATAGAAGAAAGAAAACAAGAAGAAATTAATCCCAATTTCTAAGTTATGCTGGTATTTTCTTTTTCACAACCGTATACTAATTCGGTGGCAGACCTAGAACAGTGTATAATATCTGTTGGGCAAGCATTTGCATTGCAAGAAGAAAGGGGCTCTCCATTGACCACGACCCTCAAACATCCGATGCCTTGCACAAAGTCCTAAAAATGGGATCTAATTCATGTCTTGATTTGACAGAGAATTCATGCAATGATTATGCAATAAAAATTTAGAAACTGTCAACAGGTAAAAACAACAACAACAAACATACCATTTCTCGTCATCTATCAAGAAAACAACTTAACCTCACTACTAACGGTCCCTGAATTGTCCGAAAAAGTTCTTTCCATCCAATAGAAACCATTTACGATCAATAAACTAGGGCTAAAAGAAATCAAACTCCAGATAATTATCAGAACCCTTTTGATCAGGAGCTGCTGTGGGAGTAGGAGCCTTCTCCTTCTCACTTGATGATGCTGTTGGGGCAGGCATCCGCTCAATCTCAACAGGCTTTGGGATCTCGGGTGGGGTAGCACAACGTATCAATGCCCAATTTACACCTTCAAAGAAGGGATGTTGCTTTATCTCAGTTGCCCCTCGTTTGTACGCCAATCTGTGCTGTGGTTCCTTTACAAGCAATCCCCTTATGAGATCTCTTGCTGCAAAACTGACGACTGGTGATTCTGGAAACCGGAGAGGCTGACCAACAACATTGAACAACGTTGCACGATTCCCAGAACCCTTAAAAGGAGTTTTACCAAACAACAGCTCATATAAAAAGATTCCAAAAGTCCACCAATCAACAGCACTTCCATGACCTTCACCCTTAATGATCTCAGGTGCCAAATACTCATGGGTCCCAACAAATGACATAGACCGGGCATCAGTTGGCTCTGCAATGAGCTCAGGTAATGGTCTGACTTGGTTTCCAATTTCATTTTTAGGTTTCCTGTCCTTCTTGGACTTGCTAGAAAACAAACGTGGTGAGAAGCATGTTGTAGGAGCTACACAGGATGGCTGGATACAAGAAGGCGGCTCAATGCAAGCTGGCTGGACACAATAAACAGGGTTCTTCCGCAAGGGTTCAAACTCCATGGATGATGTTTTGACAAGAGTTGGACTAACAGCACAACGGAGGGAAAGGTCAAAGTCGGAGAGCATTATATGACCATCTTCCCTCACCAGGACATTTTCTGGCTTAAGATCACGGTAGACAATCCCAAGCATATGGAGGTATTCCAGAGCCAGCAGTACCTCAGCCACATAGAATCTGCAAGCTCAAACCAAAATTAACTTGTTACCATCAAGTGCTATGCACACCAGGACCATTGCTCATATTATTTGAAGAAATTTAAATCAACATAAATATCAACATTTTGAATGATTACGTAAAACATATTGTCATTGAAACCCAACATAATATCAATATTGAGAACGATTACATTCCTCCTGCAGGATCATATGATAGTTGCAGGCTGATGTTTAGAATTATACACCTACCATCTTACTTACTAGAACACTAACCATTGTCAAACTTTGAGGACTTAGACAATGTAGTAATATCCACATTGTTTTTTATAATATGCACCTATGGTTCTGATTTCATCAGTTAATCATGGCTTCCAATATTTGGACTTTTCTGAATATGAACGTTGGGGAAAATTAATGCAAATTACAGTTCCACAAGAATGCATAAATAATAGCTTTTTAAGAAGGAAAACATCAATAGCTCAATATCAATATAGTCTTGCTTCATTTAATGCTTTCGGATGATTACCAAGAGTATTTTCTAAGTGCTAAATAAATTATAGCAGATTCAGAATACAATGTTTGGTTAACCACCTATGACAAAGGAAAAACCACTCCCTCACTTCGGATTGAATCGTTGCACAGACTATGTGATCTACATAAGCCTGCCGCAATCCTAATATCTAGGACATTATGTTCAATTGTCATTTTAAAAGACAAACCATACACATTCAAGCAAGAACTCTACAGCATGCCTGCTCAATCAGGCCATACAATTTTCATAACTTATGTACCAAGTTTATTGAACTGACAAAGTAGCCCATATGTTTCCCCAAGCACCATATGCTTGAGAGTCCACCTAGATAAATGGGTTTTAAAGTACGAATTATTTCAAGAAGATAAAAGGAAACCTTTCTTTCTAGTTGAACATAGGGAATTAAGGATAGAATTTAAGAACCTGTGACATATACAGAAAAGCTTCCCTTTTCACAGCTCTAGTTAAACAAACTCTTCTTTCTTTCTTTTGCCCTAAGTTCTCAGTTAAATTCAGTTTTTTTTTTAAAATAAAAATAAAAATCAGAGCCGATATGAAGATGAAACAGATCATTCAGATCAAGTAAAATGAAGACAGCCAGATAATATGTGCAACTTTACTGAACATACTTTACTGCCTGCTCAGAAAAATGCTTCCCCGGCTGCCTCTGCCTGAGAGTGTGCAAGTCTCCTCCAGGACAGAATTCCATCACCAAACATGAAAACTTATCTGTTTCAAAGTGGGTATATAATGTTGGAAGGAAGGGATGATCCAGAGATTGCAGTATCTCCCTTTCTGTCTGAGCACGAAGAAGCTTTTTACGACTTGCTAGAGACCCTTTGTCCATAACTTTCATTGCAAAATAACATTTAGTTCCACTTAGCTCTGATAGGTAGACACTCCCAATATCCCCGCAGCCTAACCTCTTTAGTAGTCTGAAATGACCCAGACCCAGAACCCCATCTCTTGTTCGGACAGCTTGGATAGCTTCCCATCTCAAGTCATTTGCTTTGTGAGGCTTGCTGATGCTGCTACTAAAGCTGCTACAAGTGCTCTCATCACTCACATCACTGCTTGTGCTTCCTCTGCACATACTGCTCTTGCCACTCTCTACAAAATCAACTCGATCACTAATCTTGGCACTTCCACTAGTCTTGGCAAGACTGCTGGCTCCATCGCTCACTTTGGCCGAAACTGAACTGTCCTTCACACTTCCATACTCTGATGTCTTCTTTTCTTGATCAACAGAACTTTCCAGTGAACCTCTGGTCTCATTTACAACAGAATCTACTTCCTTGGATGCTTTCTCAAGGTTGGGTGATAATGAAATCGAATTCAATTTATTAATCAAGGAATCAGCAGATCCTTTTTCATTGGAATTTGCCGACCGTTTATTATCAGAAGCTTCTACTGCAACCTGCTTTGTTAAGTTTTGTATAGATTTTGGTAATTGCTCAGGAGTAGCGAGCTCAGGTCTGGTTGGCTTCACTCCCTGTGGGGGAAATTGCCTGAGATCATTAGTTTCTACGGTCTGAACACCAGCTGTTTTCTGTTGCAGTCTTGAGGAAGCTCTAGCACCAGATTTTGAGGCCATCAGATTTCAGAGGAAGAATGGGTTATCAAGCAGATTGAAAAATTTCATTGCTCTCCCCCATTATGGGCAACATTGTATCTTCCGTTAGCAGCCAAACATAACTCTTCCAGCAGCAATTATCAATCTATATGCATTTTAGAACATTCAGATGTAATAATATGTATGTACATACATATTTATATATATATATATATATATATGTCAATTAAAAAGAAAAACAGTTCCTTAAATCAAGTAACAAAATCTTAGGAAGATGGAACCATTAGACAACCAGTTCCCTTCAAATGGCCTCACAAAGTAGATCACGCAATAAGATCAACGAGCAGCAGTTGCTACATAAATATATATACACTCTAAGAATTACCAGGACGGTAAAACATAGATAGCTTCTTAGCAAACACAGTCTAGACATCTGCTAAAGTTGAGTCAAAATGCAAAATTTCAGAGCTCACGGTATAAAGGCCCCCTTTTTCTTTTTCTTTTTTCTATTTTATTTGATAAGTAGCCTATAGACCTAAAACCGAATTGGTAAACCATATATCCGAGCACAGAGCTACATGCAGAGCTTGATCAAATGATGCTCATTACATATTGGGTAAGTAGGAATATTGCTTACATATGCATTACCCACCCACCCACCAATCGAAAGAGAAGAAAAAAGAAGAAGAGGAAACAGGAAAATACAATTAGGGAAATTGAAAAAGATTGAGAACAAGTATTAAGGGATTGAAGGACCACAAAAGAAGTAAAAAACCAGTCAAGTAAATTGAGCCAAATAGAAAATGCAGTTCATATTTGATAAAAAAAAGTACCAACCGTCTTAAATGGATGAAATTAGCATAAGCAACTAAATGAACTTGATCAAGAGACAAATACATAGAACCCAGATCTATAATCACGAAAACCGTAGCTTTCAGTCAAAATCCAAGACAGATCCAAAAGCACAGAGAGACCCAGATGCAAAAGACACGTCTAGAAGGCAAAGAAGCGCAAGCCCATGAACAGAGACGCGAATACCTAAAAGGAAAAGTGAGAGAAGGGCAAAAGGAGTACCTTATTTTTGAAGGATCAGGCTTGAGGAGGGGCTTTGCTTTGGCAGTGAAAAAGGAGAGGAGGTACTGTAGAAAGAGGCGCTGCTCATAGCTTGTTAATTGCTTGCCGCTGCTGCTGCTTGTGGAGAGAGAAAGAGAGGGCACAAAAGGGAGCCTGACAGAGTAATGAAACGGACTGGGCCTCCGCTTATGGTGGACTATTAGGCGCAGAGAGAGAGAGAGAGAGAGAGAGAGAGAGAGAGGTCAAAGACGCAAAGTTAAAGAAAGCTTCTTTGTTTTGTTTTTGTTTTTTGGTTTTTTTTTTAGGATTCAATAATTTCATTGGTTTTTTGTCCCAAAACTAAAGGGGTCCGAATCATCAAACTGCTCCGAGGACTCACAGGAGTCAGGTCTTTCGCACCTGTCTGTCATATGCGGCCGGCTTCCCTCTCTCTCTCTCTCTCTCTCTCTCTGTTTCTTTTTCCCTCGTCTCATATAATCATTTACTATTGCCAACTCAACTGGTTGAACTTGAAAGCCCCCATCAGTGGGGTGTTCTGTTTTTTTGTTTTCTATTTGTACTTTTGGATTATAAAAAAAAAAACTGCATCTTACTTTGTTTGAGCCATGTTTATTTGTTGTTAGTTTAAGGCTACTTTAAGCCTTATTTACTGAACCAGTGAGGTCCCATTTGCAAGATGAAGAGACCAAACACCTCGTCTCTAGGTCGCTCTGGTTGCCTAATTTGGTACCCGCGATCCTTTATAATCACAGCTAACGGGACAATGGTTGGTCAGATATGGGAATATGCCAATATGCCAATATGCATGACTAAATCATCTAGTCTCCCTTAACCGGAAAAATAAAATTAAAAAAATCTAATCTAAGACATATGATATGTCCATTAATTCCTTGATTAACAGATTGGAATCCAATGCATTATGCACTGAAGGATTGAAGGATTGAAGGGCTTCAGGTCTGGTGGGGTTTGGTCATTTAAGGTTGTCAACTTGGAGTTGGACCTTTTTTCCTCCAAAGCCATGTTAGCTCTGGTAATTACCTTCATGAATACATGTGTCGTTGCAAAGCAAAGCAAGCCAACAAACAAGGGCCCAAATTTCTGATGGGACAAGGCATCGCAGGTGGATCACTCAAACTCAACTCAAACCCCGTACGTATGTATGTATACAGTATTCCATATGGATGTTGTTGACCAAAGAAAAACTCCTTATAATAATAGCTAGGAAGTTAAATAAGAATTCCCACCACCAGTATGCATTGCAATTTGCAAGTCATGAGAGAGAGAGAGAGAGAGAGAGAGAGGCCCCTTTAATTACACTTATATCCCTTTTCCTTGCTAGTTGCTAGTTGCTAGTTGCTAACAAAACAGATGATTTTCACAACTGTATTTGGTCCCAACTCTCTATTTGGCCACGCAAAAATTCTTATTAAATAGTTTAAACAAAAGGGGCCAGTTAGTTGGAGTCTATACATATTAACACTAAAAGTTTGAGAGAATTTAACGCCATCGCCATCGCCATCTCCATCTCCATCTTTCTAAAAGGGATATGATTTAAGTCTCTCCCTCCCTCCCTCTCTCAAATCCACAATCCTCCTTTTGTTTAAAGCAGAGAGAGAGAGAGCTGTTCATTGTGTTGACAATTAAAGGGTATATATTCAATATAAAGCAAGCATATAAAATTGTAAATATAATTAATGTCATTCGAAACTGTGCTTAATTCCTTTTTGTTCCCTTAAGCTTCCTTTCAACATTTTGTACAAATTGTACCAACTACACGTACGTGGTTAGGTAGCTAGATATATGTGATACAGTGATACTGGGCAGGCCAGGCATGCACTACTAGATCGAGTTGTATTGTAGGCATATATAGGTTTATTACCCTTATTCCATATACACACGCATATACATATACATATATATATATACATATTAATTTGATGGGATATATTCATGTGTCATGGTCATGGTGGTTGTCACAAACATGTACTGTGGAAACTTAATTATGTGGGCATTCATCATTGCTACAAAAACTAGTGAGTTATAATATTAGGCAGGCTGGCTAGAGACATAATTAATATCCATATATAATGCAGCAGCAACTGCAATTCCATCCACAATTAATCATTCATACCACAAAATCCATCACCCTATAATTAATATTAACCAGCAGAGCAGGTGCATCGATCCACCTGCAGCAATCAACACATGCAAATTGCAATGCAACCTTCTCTCTCTCTTTTTTTATATATTTATTTTGGTAAATGAAATAACTTAAGTTATATCAACTTTCACCAAACAATATATCAGTATCTAATCTATCACCCAAGTTGTATCAACTTGGCAAGGCTACTAGTTGATAAGCTCTGCAACTCAAAGGCGCCGTCTGGGAACAGCATTCACTCAGGACGTTATTCGCACATCATTAATCAATTAATTCATTAATACACTGGAAGGAAAACAATGTCCAATCCAAACGCAAGGGAGGGATTAGATCAAGTAAGCTACGGCCGCAGCAAGTCAAACATGTCGGAAACCTTGCTTGTATAGTACTCTGGTTGAGTCTTATTTGAAGGGTCCTGAAGAACGGATTCAGTCGTCACACCTGTTGTAATAATTTGTAACGATCGATACGAGCATAATTAGAGAATATAAAGGAAGCCAATCAATTACTGCCGCAGTGTTAATACCAAAAAATTGCTTCACCGGTGCGATATATAATATGACTAGGAACTTGTACATACCTGAAAGAACGAGGAGAGTTCTGCAGCCAGCATTCTGGCCAAACAATATATCAGTATCTAATCTATCACCCACCATACACATTTTGGAGCAACTAATATCGAATCTGCAAAACAAACATTACAATCAGTCAGATACGTACCCTCTGAATCTGATTCTCTGAACTGCACAAAGCCACAACAAATGCGAGTATCTGACATTCAAGGTACCCTTTAATCTTCTTTTGGCTTTTGCATTGTATGGATCTAAATCACTTGAAATTTCATATAATTATTTATTCTTTAGGAATTTTTTTTTTTAATATACAAAAAGTATACATGAAGGTAAACAGTGTTTTGATATTATTCCTTACTTCTTTAGTAAAAATTCCATCAGGAAATTAGAGGGCTTTCCAACTACAATAGGCTCCTTCTGGGTGGATCCACAGATAGCAGCTACCATACACCCAGCACCTGAAACCCAAAAGGGGAACTACTATAAAGCAAAGCTTTAAAGCTTATATGTCATGTTATCTTGAAATTTCTCGAGAATGGGATGGAAAAGAAGAAAGAACCGGGCCATTCTTGTAAATCAGTCATGTGTCCAACTGCATCCCGATTGGTTGCAATGAAAAGGCATCCCGGATTTTCACGTATGCAAAGCGTTCCATATCTGCCATGTGAAGGGTAAGATATCTAAAGTCAAGTAGTGAACACAAAATAAGTCTTGCACTTGCTTTTCACCTAGCAACCAAATAGTAAAGATGCTGAACACCAACCATTTTCTAATCTAAATTTTTACTTTCTAACAAATGTGTTGTTACTCGTCATCTTTGCAGTTCATTTGCACAAAACTGAATATAATAGCAAGATCATATTTAAAATTTTCAAGATATATATTATCATAACTGCAAGGGGTCATTGACTGGAAATTGCAGAGAAGGGAGCAGGAGTTTTAACATTCTTACTGAAGCTTGTAATAGTTAATATACTGGTCTAGTCCAACCACAACTGCTCCAACCTGGGAATAGGAATCGCAACATATTTAGCCTATGCAAAAATAAGAGTCACAACACAAGTCAGAACAATTATGGGCAAGAGGTTACATTACACTCTTATCATGTTCAAAAAGGCAATTTGATTTCAGTTGTGCCGTTTTTTTACCATCTTCCTGCAATGTAACGTTTCATCAGTATCTTCTAAGGTAAGATTTCCATGAGAGAAGGTAAATCAATTTCTCAAAGTTGTGTCTTACCATATCAATATGAGAAAGGGAGCATCATTTAGAAATGTTACAAGTTTAATGCCAACTTGAATCATGAAACATAGTTAAGGTTCCACAGTGAAAGAAATCTGAAGCTTATATACCGAAACAGATTGAACATGGTTCGGCAAATATCTTTTGTTGTAGACCAAAGATATTGCGGTTCAAATGCACTCATAGGTGGCAAAATGCTCTATGATATAATTAGTCCAATTTGCCCTTCTAATCTAAAAGAATAATTGAAGAAAACAAAAGCAAACAGAAAGAAAAAGAGATTAGCTTACAGGGCCACCAAGAGCTGTAAAACCAGCAAGCTGCAGCTCTTCTAAAATACCTTGTTCCCCTATTACATAAACCTACAAAGAAAGCAAGCAATGTAACACAGAAAGACAGTCAAAGACAAAGAAGAAGAAGCAGCAGCAAACCTTCTTGTGTTGGGGGAAGTTAATGAGTTGCAAGTACATAGCTGCGGCAAAGGATGAAGAGAATATCTCATCCTACAATCAATCAATCAATTTTGAAGAGTGAGAGAGTGTGAGGCTGAGAGAGAGAGAGAGAGAGAGAGAGAGAGAGAGAGAGAGAGAGATAAAAAGGTGAAAACTGACCTCAGTAACCGAAATGCCGAGAGAAAGGAACTTGTTGGCGTATTGGCTTCTTGATTTTGTGGAATTGTTGGTAACGAACACCAGCTTCTTCCCCTAATTTATCAGCCAATTATTAATTTACTTAGTATGATTAAGAATTGGTTGTAATTTATTAATCAATCAGAATGCGGAAACGGAAGAAAGAGAGAGTGCCTTTGATCGAAGCATGTGCAGTGTCTCAGGGACACCATCGATCAGCTTATCGCCCTTCCAAATCACACCTGCTCATTCATTGCTAATCGTAATTTGTTTTTTTCATAAGGCATTGCTAATTGCTAATATCATAATATCAAATGCTCGAATAAAATTTATAACAAAATTATATTAATGCTTTAATAGATTATAGAATAGAAGAAAGAAAAGTAGAAAAAGACCGTCGCAGTCGAAGAGAAAAGCTTGGACAGAATCGAGGAGCTGGTTCACGTTCTGGGCAGACAGCAGCTGGGCAGGGGAGGAGTTCATCGTCAAAGGTTCAAAAGCTCTCACCAAATGCCAAGGCTTCTGACTTCACTTGTTAGTTAGGGTTCAAACATCAAACAACGGCTCTCACCAACCAAATGCTTCACGCAATCAGATACAGTGACACTGACTGACGACTCCTCAAAAAACAGGGGGAGACTTTGAAAAAACCTAAAGGGGAGAAATTTTTTGTAAAAGAAGTCAAAATTGACAAATTTGTCCTTATTTATTTTTGGATTTCCGAAGAAATCATTTACACTTGCTTGTCTTTGATTTGAAAATTGAGAGGTTTTTCTGTCTTTTTTGAAAAAACTTTGGTTTTTTTCAAAAGTAAATTTTTTTTTATGGCTAAAACTTAAATTTACTAAAAAGAGGAGAGGGTTTTTCACTTTTACATTTACTAGCCTCCCTCCCGAGTCCCGAGTCCCGAGTCCCGGGGCCGCACCCGCAGTGTACTTTGCACGTGGCAGGCACACTTCCATAATCCCATTCCGTGAGCGTTTCGTTAGTCCATACAATACAATCCAACAAACAAGCCAAACATTATTTCTGGACCTCGTGGCCCAAGCTTCGCATGTCTTTGTCTCTCTTTGCCATCGAAGAATCCAAAATGGTGCGGCCCGCTCCAGACCATAACTAGTAAAGCACAGCCCATCAGCAATCAACTGAGGCTTTTCTCGTTATCATTTTCACTGCTTGACGGCCATGGAAACAAAAAGGGTAGTTGAAAGTCAACTTCACTTTAATCGGAGTACATTTGTTGACCAATAATCCAGCCGGAGTATGTGGGAAGGAGACCTATGAACAACATATGCCGTATGAAAAGAAATATCAAATTTCATCGGTGGTGTATGGTGTGTTGATGGTGATCATCACAAAAGAAAACAGGTACATCTCACTGAAAACAAAAATTTGCTTTGCTTTAGTCAATGTTTTATTACATCTGGTAATTTTAAATCAAAAGTTTATTTTATTTTTATTATTTTACAGAAATGCAAATGCAAATATCAGGTCAAGAAAAACAAATGCAAATATTAATAAATAATTTTATGCGTGAGATTCAGATGAGGGTCAATGACACATTGTTGTTCTAATTCGGCGGCTATAGTTAATTGGAGTCGTCGATAGGCGCCCCCCATTAAATTTGAATGGGGTATTTTTCAATGTTGATGGCCGGCAGTGGCTTGGTTTCTGAGATATACTCCTACACCTACTTGTCTATTGCACTCACTCCTCATTACGTATTCCCACCACCAACCGTCGGATGGCTGGCTTGATTCAAGTGTTCGATTTGAGAAATGTTAGTTGTCTTCTAATTTAGTTTGTATTGCATTATTTATACATAAATTTATATATTTTAATGCAAAATACTAATATTTTGCTTATGAAAATAATGAGTGGAATGTACAATGAAAGCAAAAAGGGAAATGTAGTCAGTATTGTTCAATCGATTTTAATGGCCAAGCAAAGGTAGAATTGACTTGAGCAATATGCGTACGTATCATTTTTTTTTTTTGGGTCAAATACGTACACGTATCAATGAGTACGGGGGTGGGTGGTTGTACTGGGGCCCGGCATATTCGTTTATTATTCAGTTGCGTCAACAAAACACCCCTTGGCTGGGTCGTGTAAATACTGCCTGCCTGCCTGCCTGCCTGCCTGCCTGCCTGGGTGTAATAAGTATAAGCAAAGAAAGTAGAGGCAACAGCTACAGCAGCACCAAAACAACACAAACAAAGGAATCTCATCTCTCTACCTAATTCAGCAATTGTGTACTCCCCCACAAGTCACCAATGGGGTGCTGTCGTCGTCTCGTCGATTACTTCCAAGTAATGGGAATTGGACTTTGGCCTTTATCCTATCTCATGACCTCACCTTTTGTGCTTACTACCATTATGCCCTTACTCCTCTCGTGGTTGGTAGATAGGATCATAGACGACTAAACCGGCAAAATATTTTATTACCAATAGTCATGCATGCGTTAAAATTTCATTTTTTGGTCCTAATAGTTTGCTGCTTTTACCCTTTTTTCTTCTTATTCTGAAAATTAATTTTGTCAATTTGATTATTGTAGTTTCAATTCGGAGCAATTTAATGACACGTTTCAATTTCTATTAAAATCCTCCGAATTCCATTAAGTTTTGATCACGTGCCCCTCACGCGCGGATGATTCTTTCTTTCAATTAACTCAAACCATTTAACAGTAAAACATAAACTTGAACTCTTCCCATTCACTTTAGGCGTGATGAGGAGTTTGAAAAGATTTGCATCTCCAGGTTACAATTTAGGTGAATTGGGAGGAACTTAGCTCAATTGGACCAAAATATTTCTCTGTGTGAGGGGCACGTGGTCAAAACTTCAGAGAATTGAGATAAATTTTAATATAAATTGAAACATGTCCTTAAATTGCTTCTAATTAAAAACTACAATGACAAAATATAGAACCATGTGTTATATCCAATCAAAATGCAAATAAATAAATTTCAACAAATTTACGTGACCTTAAAAAAACAAAATCATGTAGCTTGTGCATCATATGATGGATATCGTATACATTTGTATTGTGGAACATGAACCTCTGTAATGAGGCAAACATTTAGATTGGGTTGTGTTTATAAAATTGAGATATCCAAAATACTTCGTGAGGAGATGCAATGAAATAAAATGTATGTAGAATGAAGTTTGGAAGCCAGAGCAGTCCAAAAATATGCGCAGCCAATACCTCCCAATAATTAATTACGAAAATGTGTCATAAATTAGATAATTACATTGTTAAGGTAATCATAATAGCAGCAGCATACATTTGGTTGTTAATTACCAAATTGGTTTGATTCTTATTTTGTCCATTTTCATTCGACGGTTATATTATAAGGGCGGCAAAGTGTATTATCCATTATTCAATACTATGAATTTACTATTCATTTATTTCAACTTACTTTTTTATTTTGTTGGAAGAGATGCTTTATTAGAATATCATAAGATTATACAGCGGATGTAATTAAATTCGGGAAAAAGCCCCAAAATTCTGCACGGAGCCTAGCCTAGGCATAATGCCATAATCCGTGAACATGGGTGCTGGGACCCAAACACATGCACATTCGCAAATAAGTTTATTAATATATATATTTTTCTATTGTTTATTGTATTTGACTATATATCGGTGGATTCTAAAATCGTAAAATGCCGCGTTAAACAAAAAAAAAAAGGCCCAATATTCTGACTTGTGCAGTGAAAAATCCAAGAATGGCAACAAGTGCAATTTTGGTAGAATGCGGATCCAATTGTGGAAGAAGATCCAGTTTAAAAACTGAAAGCCACTGACTCATTTTTATCCCTCTCTAGTCTCTAGTCTTATTATACATTACAAACATCAGGCGCATCTCTGTCTCTCTCTGAGTCTGGCATGGCGGATCTGAAGTCAAAGTTTCTCCAGGTCTACTCTGTTCTTAAATCGGAGCTCTTGGAAGACCCTGCTTTTGAATTCACCAACGACTCTCGTCAATGGGTCGAGCGGGTACCATCTTCATTTTTTACTTTTAGCTTCAATGCCATGCTGCTTGTTTATTTTCAATTCGAGCTCGATAATGATGAATTGCTTCCTTTGTTCATGAAAACGAGAGAGGACCTCACTCAGAAGCAATATACAAGTACAGGGAATAATGGGGTTGCATCACATACATATATAAGACAGATCGTATTGATTTCAATTTTGAGAAAATGCTACATAAAATAATTTCACAATCTGTGGTGGAAACTGGGTTGTCAGCAATGCATTTTACATTTGTTTTGCTCACATCATTAGTATTAGCCAGCATAGGAAAAGAAAATCCCAGGGACAATATCAAGTACAGAAATCGAAGCCCACTTGCATTTGGATGTGAATAATTCTGCTATCCCAGAGAATGCCTAGACATTTGAGGTTCCATACATTAGTTATACAGTCCTTTAGTCCCTTCTACTTCTTAATTGCATCTCCTAGAAACCACCTAGGAGGACTCTAGGACTTTCTCTAATCGCATGTTGATGCCCTCCTACATTATCACTAGTTCCCAAGAGTAATTTTCATTTTTACGTCTTTGGTTGGTTGCTAATAATTTGGTATAGTAACTTTTGGCATACAGATGGGTTCCTTTGCATTGCATGTGTCTGGTGCGTAAGCATTATTTCATTAATATACGTACCTTATCTTTGGTTCCTGACTTCCCAATTTACTTTTTTCTGTTACAGATGATGGACTATAATGTTCCTGGAGGTGAGGGTTCAAAAGTCACGTGAACTTTTTAACCAAAATTTCTTGTGCATTAAATTCAGTTTATCAGGTTAGCTCTTATTCAAGCACTTCTGACTCTTATTCTATCTTGCAGGGAAGCTGAACCGGGGATTGTCTGTTATTGATAGCTATCAGCTGTTGCAAGAAGGAAGGGAATTAACTGAAGATGAAATCTTCCTGGCCAGTGCTCTTGGTTGGTGCATTGAATGGGTATGAAAAACCACTTCCATTATCATTTGAGCATGTGAATTCTTTTTTAGATATTACTGTTCTAGTTGCTTTAGCTTTTCTCTCGTTCATTGCAAAAGAAACTTACAATTTGATGGTGATACTACTTGCAGCTTCAAGCATTTTTTCTGGTTCTTGATGACATCATGGATGGCTCTCACACACGGCGTGGTCAACCTTGCTGGTTTAGATTGCCCAAGGTTTGTGGGAAGGGTGAACGTATATAGGTTTCTTAGTTTAATTTGGTGTTGTGATTGTTAGTAAAGCAACTAACTTGTGAAACTGTATTGTGTAGGTTGGTATGATTGCAGTAAATGATGGAGTTGTACTCAGAAACCATATTCCAAGGATCCTCCGAAAACACTTCAGGGAAAAGCCATACTATGTGGATCTTCTTGATTTGTTCAATGAGGTAGTGGACTTGCAGAGTGTTGGCCTGATCAGTTTTCACTTTAATAGAAAGCTAAAGGCTAACTTATGTCATGTTTCCATAGGTGGAATTCCAAACTGCTTCAGGTCAGATGATAGATTTGATCACTACTATTCAAGGAGAAAAAGATCTATCCAAATACTCTTTGTCAATGTGAGTGAAATATTGTACAAAGATTATTGCAATAGCAAAATGTTTGTAGACATGTTAAGTTTTTAAAATAAGTAACCAACCCATGTGCTATTCCTATTAAGAACTTAATGCACTATGCTGCAGAAAAGAATTACAAGAGCTTGCATGAAATTCACAAATGCATGTTGAGGGTTGAAGATAATCTCATGACAAGGACTGATCTTTTGCCTGCTTTCGTGTAGTGTATTCATAAGCCTTCACTAATGATGGCACATTTGGCCGTCTGTACAATATGTAATGCTTATGCATTCTGTGATCTATGGGTTATAAAGGTCTAAACAGCTTGGGTTCATGACCACTTATTTAATTCCTTGCAATAGGCTCTGAACTTTTGGCATGGTATGCTCGCCAGCAGAGTTAAATCTCTGCAGCTGACTGCATATTTCATTATTTTTTTCTGAACACCTGTGGCCAATATTCTCACTCCTTGGGCTTAGGACCATTGGAACCTTTAGAGGCCTTTTAATAGACTATGAGCATGGCGTGCAGGGTAACTGGAGATAAATCTAGCAATGTGACTGTATGGTTTTCCTTTTAGTTATTTCCTAAAACGTTAATTGATTATGTTTTCTATTTCTATCATGCCATAGTATCGTGCTATTCAACCTTTTATGTGTTTGTTAATGTATAAATGGTTTGGATCTCTTGCAGTCACCGGCGTATTGTTCAGTACAAGACTGCCTATTACTCGTTTTATCTTTCAGTGAGTACTTATTCTTTCAGCACTTAAAGCAATTACTTCTTGAATTGTTAGTCTCTTTTTCAATTGCAGTGTGTGTGAAACTTATCCTAGATTTTGTACCTAGTCTGTGAGATATGATGTAACATAATACATCCTTGTTCCCAGTATATAAACTTTCTTTGGTCTCTGTTTAAGTCAATAAGAAGTCTAATTTGAGAAGTACACAAAACATTTTGATTCCTAAAATAGTATTTATACCATAAGATATTCACATTCTATGGCGTCTTATCTTATTTTCTTGTGATTTACATTGAAGGATTTGTCTGACTGTTTTCTATTCAGGTTGCATGTGCATTGCTTATGTCAGGTGAGGAACTGGAAAACCATATTGATGTAAAAAACCTTCTTATTGAGATGGGGATCTACTTTCAAGTACAGGTAATTTTTTTGTTGAATATACAAAATACCTGTAATTATTCTTTTGCGTAAGTTGTCCCCCCTCCACACAGTGGAACTCCTCAGTTATTTTCAATAACCTCTTTTTTTTTTCTTCTTCTTTTAATAGGATGATTATTTGGATTGCTATGGCAATCCTGAAACAATTGGTAAGGTGAGATTCAGGGAGATGTATATTCAGCCTGAAATAGTTGAATATTTCTTCTGTTGCTTTTTGATGGGAATTCTTAGTCAAGTACTTTGTTTGTGCTATCAGATAGGAACAGACATTGAAGATTTCAAGTGCTCTTGGTTGGTTGTGAAAGCTTTGGAACTTAGCAATGAGGAACAAAAGAAAATACTATATGTAAGAGTGCCTTTTTAAATAATTTAAAAAATTATTGTCTGTTGTTTCCTAATCAAAATGAAGTGTTGTCACTTATGATGCGTGTGTGTTTGCACAGGAGAACTATGGGAAAGCAGACCCAGAAAATGTGGCAAAAGTAAAAGCCCTCTACAAAGAACTTGATATTGAGGTTGGAAGTTAATCGTATGAAATTAGTCCTAGAGTAATATATGTAGCGTAGAGCATAAGATTTCTGGTAATGGTAGGTGCTGACAAGGTGTGCTTTTTTTAACCCAACTAACTTTATGATTCTGATAGGGTGCATTTGCGGATTATGAGAGCAAAAGCTATGAGAAGCTGACGAGTGGTATTGAAGGTCACCCTAGCAAAGCGGTGCAAGCAGTGTTGAAGTCCTTCTTGGGCAAGATATACAAGAGGAAGAAATAGGAGTTTGTGGCTTTGGGAAGGACAGATCTAGGTTGGAAGATGTGAATTTTCCAGGATGTCGTTGCTGATTTCTGCTTCAATTTTTCTGGAAAAAAAAAAAAGTGAGTGAGAAAGAAATTCCAGTCGTGTTGTATTTGTGTTTGTATCCTAGTTTATTGCGTAAGGTTTTGCTTGCTTAGTTCAGTGTTGAATAAACATCATTAATCAATCAAAGTTCATAACATTCTAATTCAGACTGATGCAATGAGCAAAATCTCTCTCTCTCTCTCTCTCTCTCTCTCTCTCTCGCTCTATATATATATGTATGTATATACACATTATATAATCAGAGAAGTAAAGTTATGAGCTGTGTAGTGATTGTCAAACCTTAGTTATGAGAGGGTGGGTAAAGTGTTTTTCTAATTAATTTGAGTAAACTAGAAGAAGCAAGCAGGCCCTGCCCCAGCTCCAGTTGGCCTTAACCTTAGGCCTACATCATACATTGACTTGACATTAAAATAGCTCCAAAGTTTCATTTCCAATAGTATTAATATACATAAATAAAGAAGGCTTATTTACTGTAGCAACTCCTGAATCTATGGTCAATTCTCACTTTACCATCTGAAAGTTAAAATGACCCAGAATACCCCCTTGACCAAGGTTTTACCCTCCACTGTTAACTCTGTTAAAAATTCTGCTAAAAAGATGACATAGCATAAATAAGACCCACCCTTTTGATGAAATGTATGCCATGTAAGGGCCACATGTGAAAAACCAATAAAATATTTTATTTAAAAATAGGAAAAAATATTTAGAAAATTACTTCCTCTTCTCTCTCCCTCTATCTCTCTCTGTACCGACACAGCCCAGCCCCCGCCCCTTTCTCTTTTCTTCTTCCACTGATTTCCAAATCCCTAAATCTAAATATGTATATCCATGACAGACAGAGCACCCAAAAGTCATGCCCCCATGACTTGTCTTTCTCCCTGTAATGAATTCAATTCTTATTGCCTAACCCACTACCTTCCAGAATCAAACAAACCAAATCCAAAATCCCATGCCATGTCATCATTTTTAACAGAATTTTCAGCTGAGTTAACGGTGAGGGGTAAAGTGAACTATCAGACCTTGGTCAAGGCGGCATTCTGGGTCATTTTAACTTTCAGATAATAAATAAAGTGAGAATTGATCATAATTTCAAGGGCATTACAGTAAATAAGCCAATAAAGAAGGTGGTGGGGTTGAGCAACTGACGCGGGTGAACCGTGAGTGAATGAATGGATCCCTTCAAAGTAGCTGTGGCTGTCGCCTAAAGTACCTTGCCTATTCTTTATTTAGACACACCAATAAATAAATTAGTTAATTAGTCAAGGTCATTTATTTTTCATTTGGTTTTGGTACTTGTTTAAATTAAGTACAAGTTAATTAGTAATTCCTTCCTAATTTGTAATTTGTAATTCGTAATAATAATACTAATGAAATATTAAAATCAAGGCTAGGCAGGCCCCAACCATAGCCAACTTAACATACAAAACAAAACGTGACAAAAGACTCTCATGGGAAATTCCCCATACTCTAATCATTCTTTCTTTTTAAACAAGAGGAGCAGCTGCAAATTGCAAAACAAAGACACTCAACTAATTATTAGTATTATTAATACGCAATCTATTACTTGCAAACTCTCTAAAAAATAGAAAATAGAAAATAGAAAATGAAAATGTATTTTAATTTAGAAAGTCAAAAAGTCAAACATCCTACGCGCAGTAGGAAGTTGAACCAGAGAGAGAAAAGAATAAAAATAATAAGGCTACTAAAATAAAACAAAGGAAGCCGAAAAGTCTCCGAGCTTTTAAACTTTTACTTCAAACATCTCCCTTCCTCTGACTCGCCCAGCTTTCCATTTTGATCATCCATTTTACCCCCAAAAAAAAAACAAAAACAGACTTTCCATTTTGGATTGGATTGATGATAAATTTCCCTTCTTCTTCTGAAACTATCTTTCTTTCTAATTTTAAAGGGTTCGGCCGTTGGGCTCCTGTTGTGTCGATCTCTTCTTCCTCTCTCGTTCATTCTGTTTTTGTGTTTTCAAATTTCCGTTTAATTCAGAGAAATAAAGAATTCAAATTGTTATTAGCATTATCAATTTCGGGTATTCAGAAGCTCCGACGATCAGGCGATTTTCGTCGCATTGCCAGTGCGTGACAAGTTGGAGATTTTTCTCCTAAAGTTTCCCTTTTCATGATGTCATTCGTTTCATTCTATTCGTACATTTCATAATCCCACCCATTTATTTGATCAATTTTATCTTATTGGCTTTGCTTTTGTTTTGTTTATTTGTTTAATTGTATCCTTATGTTGTAAATTGTAATTTTCGCATACATACATACATACAGACAAAGGATTGGAAGAATTTTTATCTTTTATCTTTTATCCGAGTGAATGATCAAACATGAAGCTGGTGGTTCAAGTAATGGGGGCTCGAGATCTGCCAGCAATGGATCTAAACGGGTTAAGTGATCCGTATGTGAAGGTGCAGCTGGGAAAGCAGAAGTTCAGGACCAAAGTGGTGAAGAAGACCTTAAACCCATATTGGGGAGAAGAGTTTGCCCTGAGGGTTGAGGACCTCAATGAGGAGCTACTCATCTCTGTTTTGGATGAAGACAAGTACTTTAACGATGACTTTGTTGGGTGTGTCAAGCTCCCTGTTTCCCAAGTCTTCGATGCCCGCAATAAGTCCCTTGAAACTTCTTGGTACCCTCTCCAACCCAAGAGTAAAAAGTCCAAGAACAAAGATTGTGGTACGCTACCTACCCACTTGCCTTCTTTCTTATCCCATAGATGGCATAAATGATAAACCTTCCTCATTCCTTCATTCCTTCTTGTCTTGTGCTATCTATTATTATTCATTTCTGCTGTGTGTTATTGACATTTGTTAATAAGGATTTGCATTGCATCACTTTCTGTCAATATACCCAGTTCAAACTGTTGCAATCAGCTTCATTGGCTTATTTTTTAATTGAAGTTGCATCTCATGCCTCTTTTTTTAGAACAAAACTTGGGATTCTTGTCCCAAATTGAGATGTTCTTCAGCTATTTGAGTTAAAATTGCAAATTGCTTACTGGCAATGCCTATTTGTGAATTGTAGTTACTTGTCATAATATATATATTATATATTTTTCCCTCACAGGAGAGATTCTTTTGACGATACATTTTTCTGTAAACAATTCATTTGCGGACTCAGCTTCTGATGGTGGTGACATAGGATTTGAATCACCTTCAAGGTCTTTCAGTGGTCCATCTGAATCAGCTTCTCCTGTGAGAGCGAGACAAGAAGAAACCGCAACCTTTAAGGAAGAGAAGCTTTGTACGCAGAAGACCCTTGCTGGTCGAATAGCTCAGATGTTCAATAAAAATCCTGATACAGTTTCAGCTTCCTCTAGCAGAGTTGACTTGACCGATCTTGCTGAAACTGCTAAGTCCGAGGTTTATGAGAGCAGTTCTGAGGATCAGTCCTCTTCCGCTACATTTGAAGAACTAATGAGAACAATGCAGTCACGAGATCAAGTGAGTGAAACCCCAAGCAACTTACCAGGAGGAGTGCTTCTAGATCAATTGTATGTCACTCCACCCCAAGACATAAACACTTTCCTATTTTTACCAGATTCAGGTTTTCCAAAATCACTCGCAGAAGTGCAAGGAACTACAGAATTGGAAGTAGGACCTTGGAAATTAGATAACAGCAGCGAGAGCGTAAAACGAGTAGTTACATATGTTAAGGCAGCAACTAAGTTGATAAAGGCTTGCAAAGGAACTGAGGACCAAGTGTATCTCAAAGCTGACGGGAAGGTTTTCGCAGTTCTATCAAGTGTAAGCACTCCTGATGTTCCGTATGGGCGCACTTTTAGGACAGAATTGCTCTACTGCATTACACCTGGCCCTGAGCTGCCATCAGGAGAACAATCTTCACGTTTGGTAATATCTTGGCGGATGAATTTTCTGCAGAGCACCATGATGAAAGGAATGATAGAAAATGGAGCCCGACAAGGTTTAAAGGACAGTTTTGACCAGTTTGCTACTTTATTGTCCCAGAATGTTAAGCCAGTTGATTCAAAGGATCTTGGGTCCAATAAGGACCAGGTTCTGGCATCACTGCAAGCTGAACCCCAGTCTGATTGGAAGCTGGCAGTACAGTATTTTGGCAATTTCACTGTGGTCTCCACTGTATTTATTGGGTTGTATATGCTTGTACATATTTGGCTTGCCACACCCAGCACTATTCAAGGGCTGGAGTTTGTTGGGCTTGACTTGCCAGATTCAATTGGTGAATTCATTGTCTGTGGTGTCTTGGTTCTTCAAGGAGAAAGGGTGCTGGGGTTGATCTCACGCTTCATGCAGGCCAGAGCGCAAAAAGGTACATCAATCTTAGTGGTTGCTCTTTCTTATTAACGACAATAGACTCTTATCCTGTTATCCTTTCTCTAGCTGAGAGTCTGATGCTTCTGTATTACACAATTCATTCATTCATTGTACGGGAATGAGTTAGATAGATTAACAATTACTATCAGCATCACAATACATGCCTAGTCTTTTATCTACTCCCATAAATTCCACTTTTTAAATAGAGAACTGCATTGTTTTTTTACTGCTTTTGCTTGCTCATCATTTATTTTTCTCCTCTATTTGGGGGACACAAACTTTGCATGTCCCGAACTGTTCTAAGCTGTTCTATTATCTTCTTTTTTCTTTTGTTTCAAATGTGATTTATCCTTTATCTTCTTTGTGTGTCTAATAATAGGCAGTGATCATGGAGTCAAAGCCCAAGGAGATGGTTGGCTGCTAACTGTTGCCTTGATCGAAGGAAGTAACATAGCAGCTGTTGATTCAAGTGGGTTCTCTGATCCGTATGTGGTGTTTACTTGCAATGGGAAAACTAGAACCAGCTCAATAAAGTTCCAGAAATGCGATCCCACATGGAATGGTGATTTTCATTTTATTCTTAATCAACTTTATTTGATTTTGAATTTAAACTTCTTCTGAAGACATTTTTCAGTATATAATTGATTATAAATGTCAATCTAAAATTTAGAATATATTTTTAGATTATGCAACATTTATAAACTAAATCTAGGTCTGAATTGATTTCTTCTTGCTCGCAGAAATATTTGAGTTTGATGCAATGGATGAACCTCCTTCTGTGCTGGATGTGGAAATCTATGATTTTGATGGACCTTTTGATGAAGCTATCTCTCTGGG